AGCACTTCGAAGCATATGGTGCAGCAATTACATAACTACATTTAGCTGAATAACTATTTAAGAACAGTTCCCGCTTCCAGGTTAGTTTTATTTCTTTTAGCTGTATCAGAACCAGGTTGTAACAAACTTACCATGGTCCTTTTGTATTTTTGAATACAGTCACTGCGTTGGCGTTTTTCCTTTCGCTTTCGCCCACCACCTTTGCCACAGTTTTCCTTGTTTTGCTGAACTTCTGGCAGATGCCTAAGAAGCAACCTTTCTTTTTTTCATTTTGTTAATAAGGCTGTGTCGCAGTGAATCCTACAGTGAGACTGATGAGCAGCAAGCCTGTTACAATGCAGATATGAACTTCGATACAAGCATTTCAATTGTCAGAATGAAAACAAGTTCTTGTAAATCTTACGCAGCGTCCAGTGGAGTCGGCCAGGAAGGGGTATGCCGCTTGGAGGGCACACATGACGTCATCTAGCTAAGAACGACTTGGCGTTCTGGAAAGAAAAAACAACAAATGTTAGCCTCTGTTTTAAGATATATAAGTGAGGACTTCAAATGCTGCTGCTTTCGGAGTTTTGCTCAGAATGTCGTCTGCCAACGCAGCGACCAACTTTGTTCGTGCTTCATTTGGCTGTGGTTGAAGGAAAAGTTCACTCTTTTCACACAGCCTCTGTAACAGTAGCGAGGGAAATTATGGGAGAGTATATCTCTGTGGCCATACATTCCTTACAACCTCTGTAGACCAAACTGAGGCTGCTGTGTTACTAGCACGAGACACATTGGAGGTTCCAGGCAAGCTGAAAGATAACAATGTAATTAGTGCATCTCGAATTTCACAAATGGAACGCAAATTTCCAATTGGGTAATGTGCCCCACCTTTCTTTTATGTCTCCTTTTAGCTGTTCAATCAGTTTTAGCAGTTTGACTCGCAGTTTCATAGCAGGGAGCAACTGGTCAATCATCCACACTAACAAGTTTAGTAACGTCTTCCCATCAACCTCTTCTGCATAAAAGGAGATAAAATATTGCACATACAGTTTATATTATACATATATGTTATATATGTTAATGACAGAAGTTATACCACATTTTTCTACCCTTTTATTCTGATGGTGTACACAAATATAGTATAAAGAGAGTGAAGATGGGGGGAGGGGGACAACCATAAAGCAGTGGCATGCATCACCTCCACACTGCTTCCATTTTCTGGTTCCCCAGATCCTCCCTCGACATCTTTAAATTTCATGTGCTTCCTGAAGCTCTCCGATACAATAAAATATCGTCCAGACGGAGAGCACTTACCCAACTTGCAAACAGAATTAAAGTCCGGGTCACCATGAGCTATCTGGACATGATTTGTCAGATGACTCCCGATGTGGTAGCACTGCGAAAACTTTTAGCACTCGTATCCGCTGATGCTGAAATCGCACAAACGACGACAAATCTCACCAATCGCCGAAAGACCCGGAAGCACTTCCTCGCTCACAAAACATGTCCAAATATCCACACTGCACTACAAGTTTCATAAAAAAATATTCGCGTGCGCATGGAAGTATGGAAGGATAGCGCCATCGAGACCCCGATCAGCCACCGTTACCGGCATTCAACTTGGAAACTGAAAACGCGAGACGAAACCGACGCCGACGCCGCCAACCAACACAAACAAAGAGGACGGAGCATTCTGCTTACCTTCGAATCTCTGGGCGAAGTCTCCAAGGTTTTGCTTTGTCAACCAATCTGACACGTCCTGGAGCTTCCATCTAGACACATCTGTATGTTCTCGCACCGTGACCACATCCATTGAATGCCGCCGACAGAACCAAGTCGAAACAGTAAACAGCGAACCCCGAATAGTTGGCCGCCGTTACTTTCGCCTTTACAGGATCTCACGCAGGCAAACGGCGCGGCGCAGCGGCACCACCGGCACTCCTTCGCGCGTAACCGCTTCTTCAAAAGCAAAAAAAAAAAAAAAAAAAGTTATGAAGAACTTTTTTTTAGGCAAACGTTCCTCATCGCCCTGTCGCCTTTCTGGTGCGCCAGGGGGCGATACTGTTTGAGCGAAAACAGTTCTTCACGAGGAAAAAGAGTTCTTGGGGCGGCGAAGAACCTTTCAAGAACGGATATTTTTTAGAGTGTAGCTGAGGTAACGACAACACCATTAAAAAGCTAATAATGCCGATGAAAGGCTGCGTCGTTGCTCAAGTGTTTCTTCCGCCCGCGCAAGTTCCCTCGCGCTCCCTGGTACGACGCGACCATTAATAAGGAAAAGTAGCGCGGATGCGGCTAATGAGGCAGGGACGGTGTCGTCTCCGGCAGCGGCGGCCCGCGCAGCCCGACCAGGAAGCGAAAGTGACTTATCTTCCCAGGCCGCCGATTTCCGGACGCCGAACCGACCGGTTTCGCCGTCTGCGCTTTCTGGATCACGCGCGATCCCGCATGCAAAAACAAGGAACCGACCGCGGAAGTTCCAGTCGCTCTTGGCTCGAAGGACCCCGCTCTGTCTCACTGGCATCGAGGGTAAGCCAGAGCGACGCGAGGGCCTGCAGAACGGCGTTGCAAAGAGAAACACTAAAGACGCACTACCATACAAAAGTGCTCTCTGTAGGCACAATGACAGTACTTTCCAGGCGCTTCGTACGATGCTTCCAACATGCCGGCGGAGGTTTCACAACCTCACCTGCAGACTGCCTTTTGTATGACGCATTAGCAGTGGGATTGTTATTATAGCATTCAAAGCCTCCGCAAAGCTGCCAACACATTCATTGCACGTGCCGGCGCATTTGGCACGCGCTATTCGCAACTCCAGCCCGCCGCTCGCCCCCTCGCGGACGAACGAAGAACCAGAGGAGCGGGAACGGCGGTGAAGACGGTGGAACTGTCGGCCTTGGCGCTGATGCTAGCGCGTGGTTCTGGTCGGCGTGATCGTGCATCGAGCAGTTTTAATGAAAAATGCGAGTGCATTAATACAGGAATTGTGTTCCGCTTCGCCACTTTTAAAAGTCAGAATGCTCATTTTCTTAGCGCTCGCCAACACTTTCGTTACCTGTGGTACGCTCCTGCCCTGACCGCTTCGTCTACCAAATAAATGAATTCTAGGAGGCTGACCAGCGTCAGCGAGTGGGCGCAGGGGTAATCCTCGAAAATCGACCCCCGTCTCTTCCGCCATCTTGGGACTATACTGTCCCGCCATCTATAGGGCGTTAGGGTAACGACGTCTTGAGCGAGAAACGGATTGATATCGGTTATCATTGGCCGCTCCTGTGGCTTATTGTCTAGCGAGCGTAACGCGGTTCAGAGTTTTAAATAGCTTATTTCGTAAGCTTCCTTTCAGGACGTTCATGTTCAAACAGGTAACGCGCGCGTCATTCGACGACACAGGCCGATCGGTCGTGCTTTACAAGAAGAAATGACTCTCCGGTGTTGCGCATTGTCTTATTTTCTAATTACTGACTCTGTTGTTTTACCAACGCACGCTCGCGTGGACAAACTATACGACTGGGTTCGTGGATAAAACCATCCTGACGCCCCCTTGCGTTACAGTAGTCATCCGTCCGTCGGATCGCCACCGACGAATGCGAAGATGCATTTGCACAGTTGTTGCTCTCCCAGCGCTTAAATTCTCTATAAGCCCGCCACAAAGCGGTCCGACGAGCGACTGACAATCGGCCATGGCGGCAGCCGTCGCGGGCCCAACGAGGAGTTATCTTCCATTGCCACAATATGAACGAAGCCATAAACTTGTTCGATAAGTTCGTCATCTCCTCGCGCAGCATGCGCGTTTGGGCAATAGTTTGCCGGTAACACCCAGGCGGCGCCAGTAGTGAGAGCCCAAGGTATAATCTGCCTCGGTGTAATTTGGCTAAGGGTGAACGTTAAGCCCCCCATTGCGATCCGACGGCTTCCATATTCGCTATGTTTACGAGCGCAAAGCACACATATTTGAGCATGACGCAGCGAAAAGCCTGGTCCTTGTTCGCAGTAAAAGCACACTCCGGTGATACGTAGTCACGTTCCGATTGGCCCGCCAGGCCGCAGCTTCCGCTGTACTTGCATGTTGTGCAATCGCGGCTTCCTGGCCTACCCAGTATTTCTTGCTTTAGACACTAGGCTATAGCGGCGCCACTAGAGTAATAGCTCACATTTGAACAATGCAGCTGCCGCTCCCATGCATATTCGATGTTTCTTGCTTCAGTCGCTATGTAGCGCCAAACCAAACAGCATTGCAGGTTGCCTATAGCGGTGCGCGCTTAACTGCCTCGTCATCGGGCCGCCCCATGCGCCTTCTCTATGCTGCCCTTTGATTGGCGTCATTCTGATGCGCCGAAGACGGATTTTGGAACACTGGCCCGCCGTAGAGACAAACGCGCTGTTTACCAACAAGTAGGGGTGGCCGAATAAGAGCTGCATCATTCATAGCCTTCACAGTGCCCGGGAAACCGGTGTCGGGCTCTTGCGATCCCCTATTCGCCCACCCCTACTAACAAGCAGTCCAATCAACCACCTGTCTTTCATAATCTGATCGCGCTCTCTGCGCTTAGGTACCTACGGGAGCGTGATCACATGGCCAAAGATAAGACAGTCTACAGTCCTGTCAGGGCTACACAAGTTGGGCCGAGTCAGCGTACTTTCGAACGGCGTTCGACTGCATCCAAAGCGTATAAGTCTCACGGTGGATTACGAGGAACGTGGGGAACTTTTGCTCGTTCGGTTAGTCGAGTGCTGGTGAGACAGACACGGGGCTTTTGTCGGTCGCAAAGCTTGCAGCTGCCCACGAGCGCCGGAGTCGCGTCAAGTTTTTTTTTTTTTTACTCTCCTGGACTTAGCGGGACACTAAATATAGGAAGCGAAACGGTCCTGATTTGCATATGCGCCGGCAGGGAGGGCCGCCGCGTCCCCAGAATCCCCCGCCTTAATCCAGACGGGGATTAAGGAGGCACTTCCGGCGGACGTAGAGCGGCCTCGTGAGCAGAGCCCGGCACTGATACCGCTGTCCGTTCCTGTTCCAGACGAGGCCCTGGAGAGGTTCATCGTGGAGATCGTGCGCGCTCACGAGAGCCGGGTGTCACCGGTGAGAAACGTCACGTCGGACCCGAACTGGAGCTTCGGGCACTCCTTCTTCTTCTCCAGCACCATCATCACCACCATCGGTGAGTAGCTCCGTTGAAACTCATTCGGTCCTGTGCGGGTTTCGGACATTCCTCTGAGCGTTTCTAACGGTCCTCGTGCCACAGTATATAGATGTGTAGAGACGAGCCCGTGTTTGCCCGCACCAAGTGTGGGCACTGCGCCTGCGCAGAAATCAGATTTGAATAATGAAGTATGCGCATGGGCACCGCACCGACATCGGCGTGACGTCAGAGTGTGAACGCATCAGGTGATTGATGCATTCCCTCTGTATCACTGTCTCGCAAGTAGTTGCAACAAAATCTCTACACGTAAACACTCTCGCCATTGCTGCTGGTGTGCGTTAAAAATTGTCCGAGCTCGTTCGGTATAAGGACATCGTGGCTTCATATTCTTTTTTCAGTCCGCACAGGTCCATTGCTTTTAGCAGTGCCTTGACCGCGTGTATATATATATATATATATATATAGCTTCTTCCTGACGAAGGCCGGACTCCGGCCGAAACGTCGAAGATTAAATCGTCCGTTGTTGCTGTTTTTCACTAAGGGTTTTTTTCTTCTCAGTTTTATATATATATATATATATATATAGAGAGAGAGAGAGAGAGAGAGAGAGAGAGAGAGAGAGAGAGACCACGCGCGTCACAGCTGTCAGATAAAGTCCTCTCCTCGCCTTTCCACACTTCTCTATGGGAGACATGCGCGCTGATGGAAGCGGCACTTGACCTTTTGTAGCAGGTTCTGTAGCGGGCAAAATATTGGTTTAGAGCAGCTACCGACGTTTTTGGAGCAGATGCCAACATCTCTTACCACGTCACTTGAGAATTAAAAGGTGATTGCATCTCAATGAGTTCATTTATGATAGTGATCGAGGGTTCCTCTTTAAAACTCGCGCGCATCACTTATTACCGTTTGTGATAAGAATAGATAGTGCATAAAAGGAAGGTAGCCTTCTTAAATTAGGCTCTAGGCAAAGTAGGTTTTATATTAAAATGGGTATTAAAAAAAGAGGCTGAAAAGTGAATCATAGCGCAACACACCATTGGGATAAATTCCCTCTCCATTTTACATTCGGTAGCCAGGTAGCAGCGCAGGCTTTTTGGAAGCTGGACAGGGAAGGGTGTCACTGGAAGGACCACCGCCCTGGTTGGGGTTTGAACACCCCTGGGATAAACCAATCAAGTGCAGCGAATGTCGCGTGACTTGCGCTTTTAGTATGTGTGTTCGTGGTCGTATTTGTTCGAGCCTTCGACTGTACTCTGGCCCGAGACGAAGCAAACGCTGAGTACAGACGCCGTGAAATTCATATTCGTAAAATTTTTCTTACCTTCTACTTCTCCGAATGGTATTGTCGACCAATAATAAAACAATTGTTTCGCTTTAAGCCCATTTCGGCGCAGCTGTGTCACAATTCTTAGCGAAAATGGCATTTTGGCGCAAGATGTAGCAGACTTTTGTTCATGGCGCAATTTGGCGTAAATGGCGCAACGCTCCCACCACTGCATGTTTTTTTTTTTTTTTTTTTTTTTAAGTCGTTTTTTGGGTAAGCCACGTCGTGTGGAGCTTGGCACTCGCGTTACGCGCGTTGCTTAGACACTGCTTCATCAATGACCAGTTTCGTGCCTCGACGGCGGCAATACGAGTTTTATGAGCGCGTTGAAGCGGAGAGATCTCTGACGCGGTGTTCCAGCCAGCGTTCGTCAAGGAAGAGCAGACGCTCCGAGCCAACGTTATTTGATTAGCTCAGTTACGGAACTGCTCATAAACGCTGCTAGCACGAGCAGTACCCCTCCTCACTTACCACGACTCACCTCCCGTCGTTCGGCGCGTCGGACGGTTGCTATGGTAACTGCAGCGCATTCTTTGAAATGGGTACGTTTCAAAACACAGCGTCTAGATGGCGATTCGCCTCGAGATCGAACCGTGTCGCCACCGTGCGGCCGAAATTGGAAACGCGCGAAAGTGGGGATATCGCCGTGCGTCGTCTGCTACGGGCGCACGCTCAGAAGCATGGATCTCGACGCGGCAAGCCCGTTTCAGGCTGAGCTTGACATTCCTTATTAAATGCTTTATGTTTTTGTTGCCGTTTCTTCTTACTAAAGGTTGTGTTGTATCGTTTCCCATGTGTAGAAATTCAGCAAAGCGATTATTATTCAGTCGGAAGCTTCCATAATCTTAGTGTGTTGGTTTGTATACAATCGCTGTTCCCACGTATTTTTGTTATTTCGCACAAACCGTGGCTTTCATAATGCATTCAATATTGAGTGGGCCTGTGGTTTGATTAGAAAAGTAACCCGACTGATCGCTATCCTTTAGCAGACTAATCAATGAATAAATCCGTATGTTGATTTTTCGCCGGTCATATCGCGTGAAAGGCGTTAAAACTACACATTTTTTACTGCTTTTACTATGTCATACGTGGCAAATTGCATTCCCATTCTAAACTTCACGTTGTGAGTCCTAAATAAATATGAACACGGGAAGTCTTTTAAATTGCAGTATTTTTTAACTTATTATTTAAACAGTATAATCACCCTCGGTGAAATGTCAAGCACGCTGAAGTGGTTTACCGTGCAAGCCAGTGTCACAAAAGAAATAAAGACGTCAAAAATATTAAAGCAGGCATTTTTACCCCTTGTTGACTTTCTGCAGCACAGGACTCCAATTAACCGGCAGAAAAAAAATTGCAATTAAAGCATTACTTGAATAACCTGAAAGTTGTTCGATGCCAACTGCCCAGTCTTACGTCAGGTGAGGGCGAAGGGTGATCGGAAAGTCTCGTGAAGCCTCGCTAGCTTTTATCAGTAAAAGAGTATCACTGCGGCCGATGCTAGCTGTGTCGTGGTGCGCGTCGTTTGTTGGGTTTGCAGAGTCTACTGTGTTTGAACACAAGATTATTTAGCCAGAGATTTATAGTATTAGCCTCTTGACGTCCGCGGCCCTCACCAAGAAAATTGAAGCGGGTGAAACCACACTGCCGAGAAAAGCATTTAACAACAGGAACATTGCTGCGTTGCTCAGTCACACCCGTTTATTACATTAGAACAGTTTGTTTTACTTGTTTCAGTTGTCCTGCCAACCGTGCAGTTTGCAGATCACTAGAAGAGACACACTTTCCTCATCGAAACGCAGTCGATGTGTTCAGACTCCACAAAACTTACCCACACTATGGCACAGTAAAAGGGCAGAGGAACTCAATAGCACGGTAATTTTCAATACAGCGCTAACTTATCTTCATTTTAAATATTTATATTACTGCAAAAGCTAGAAGTAAAAAAAAAAAAGAAAACATAGAAGCTGCGATTTCACTGCCCACAGTACCGGTATTATTTTATCTGGGTTGGAATTTATTGTTTTTCTTAATTGCCACGTTGAAGAGCCAACACATCCATTAAAAAAAAAATATTTAACGTAAATATTCCAGTTCAGCCGGAGACAGGTATCAGTCGTGGTTATCCATGCTTTCCAACGTCTGCCTGGAGCAGACGACGGACCCACAGAAGCGATTATATAAATTTAGGCTTCACGCTTGCAACACGATTCGATCTTCACTGAAGCACCGAACAGTACCGTATCCTTTTCCGCTAGAATTGTTTTCCCACCGATAGTATGCGACAAAATAAACGCAACAATATACGCCGTCACGCGCGCGAACCTGGAGAGCCTATGGGGCGGAGGTTCTCCTATCCCCGCTTTGATGATGATGATAGCGCGACCGTAGCGCCACCTTTAGGTCCCTTTTCCTTTCGCCGCCATCTCCGTATTGGCGGAGGAGTGGTCACGTGGGCAGAACTGGATCCGACCTTCGTGCGGGAAAGCGGCCTTCCAGAGCGCCGAGTTTCGGGGGAACATATTTTCCGCTTTGAGTTCGCCAAATATAGATCTTAGACTAAAATAGAACGACCCGAAAGCTTCCTAAGTCATTGAACATTATGTGCGTCAACTAGGTACAATACAATCCTGTTTTTTTATAACGCGAGTGATGTTTTAGGACATCCGTTTCCAAGGTAAGGGAAGCAGACGACACGGACGGCGATCGCGTTGCTCGCGTCTGCGGCTCTCGCGGAGTGATACGCGATACGCGACCGGCACATCCGGCCGTCCTGGCGAGTCGGCGAGCTCTCGTGCGAAAGCGAGGGGACGGCGTTTTCGTCAGCCGCTGCGTCGTTTACCGCAATGTATTGACGACTTCTCCTCACACGTGACCCGCAGGATCCGCGGTTGCGATTTTTGCGACCGAGAGGGAAACAGGAAACGACGGGACAACGTTGACGGCGCTTGCCCGGCTCGTCGCCGCACGCCGCACTATTTTCCTTCCGCAGCGCGCCGCAGCACGCCACAGCACGTCGTCTCGCGTCGGCGCCTTCGCGTCCCCTGCAAAAACTGACCGTGGCTTCCCGCAGTGCTTGGCTCCAGAATGGCACCATTGCGGTACTCTGCTCCGCAAGCGGAGCATATACAGTTACTCTAGCTCTATAGACCACGCAGTTATGAAACGAAAATCCAGATGGCGCTTCAAACGACGGGAGGCGGACTCAAATGAGTAAGGGGGGCTACCCCCTTCCGAGGGAGTTCTACAACTGAGGTAATCTAGTAACATTGCTCCGAACGGAAAGAGCGCGTGCACGGGTGAGAATGAGTCTCTATTTGAATGCGAATGTGTTAACTGTCCCATGGAGCAAAGCCGGCGCTGTCTGTAACCGTCCGTAGCACAAAAACGGCACTAACAAGCAGAATTCCCGTTGTCTGCGACGTGCCATATCAGATGCTACGTCACAGAAGGCGTCAGGGCGCTCAAGGTCAAAGCGGACGCGCCTCACAAATAAAACGCAAAGAAAAGCGCAGCAATGCAGATACTTTGTCAAGGAAGCCGTGGAGCCGGCGGGAGGCCGCGCCTGCGCAGTGGGGGACCACGATGTCAGCGCCGGCGCCGTGTGAACAAGGAAGACGTGGCGCGCTGCTTGTAGGATGGCGCTGCATCTAGGAATGTTTTGGCATTCCTACAAGTAAACAATCGTTTCTCTGTCGAATTTTTTTAGTCCTTTTTTTTCTCACTTGCGCCGTCTGCACGGCGGAGACGCTGCCCGCTGAGGCTGCTCGTGCCTAACCAACGTTATACCTCAGTTGTGGAACTCCCGAGAAGTGCGGTACTCCCCCCCGCTCACTTCAGACTGCCTCCCGTTTTTTAAAGTGCCAACTAGGTTTTCGTTTCAAAACAGTGTGTTCCATAGAGTATGGTGGAACGCCATCTAGACGCTGTACTTCAAAACGAACGTATCGCATTGAATACACTGCAGTTACCATAGCAGCCGTCCGGCACGTCGAACGACAGGAGACGAATCGTGAGGTGAGAACGGCGTACCGCTCGCGCTAGCAGCCCCCATGAGCAGTTCTGCAGCTGAGCTAATCTAGTAACATTGGCCCTAACCAACATTGTTAGAAACCTATGTGGAGCACAAGTTAGTCTGCTTTTTGAGCAAGGGTATCGATGACCTCAGAACACCGAGCTCTTATTGGTTGATTAAAAAAAATAGTGCGTAGACCTCGAGGCATCTAGCATTGGGGTACCCACTATCCTTCCAATCAAAGCCGATCAGAACTAGGCGTCGTTCTGACGTCACCGCAACCCCTGCGCGAGAGGCAGACGAATTGCTATCCGGATACAGAGCTTACACTGATGCCACTTGGTCAGACATAAAGAGGAAAACGGCGCGCGAGAGGGTTACTTCCAGTGCATTCACGAGGCACATCAGACATGAGGTCTTGAGGTCAGGTGACAATCTTCCCGCTAAATCTAGCGGGGAAACTAAATTTGTGTATAGGTCACGTGACATCAAGTTGTGACGTCGTTTTCCCCATTAAATTTAGCGGGGAAAATAAGCGGCCACAAACATGCCCCAAAGTGGCCTGGTGTTTCCAATTTTGACTAAATTTGTATTTTTGAAGTTACCGGGTGTTTATCGGTGTTTTTTTTTCAGTTTTATCCGATTTTGTATTGTTGACACTGACGGATGTTTATAGGTGTTTTTCGGTTGCAATCGGTGTGCAGGCTACGGCAACATCACCCCGCTGTCGACAGGCGGCAAGATCTTCTGCATCGTGTACGGCCTGATCGGCATCCCCCTGACGCTCATTCTGCTGTCGGCCTTCGTAGAGCGCCTCCTCATCCCGGTCACCTGCATTCTGCAGTTCCTCAACTCCAAGCTGGGCCACCTCTACCAGGCCTTCAACATCCGCGTCCTACACCTCTTCATCGTGGGGGTGAGCTCCAATTCATCTCCTTTTCCGGCAAGAGCAGTAAAAGTGCTGTACTTTCCTCTTGCCGTCGCATGTCTCGACCGCCGTTGTCTTTGTCTATTGGCCGTTTGCGAGTACACTTAGCACGCTTATTCAGTTGCTTTACATTTTCATGGGAGCTACGGCTCCCAGAATGAACGACGACGATTGGGCGAAAAATGTCCCAGGCCAGACAGAATGTCCATACCGAAACTTGAAGTCATCTTGAAAGAACGTCGCTACTACAGCAGTTTCATCGACACCTTTTCAAAAACGTCGAGTTCGGTAGAGGTTCCGTCGACGCCAGAGGGTTCGGTAGAGGTTCCGTCGACGCCAGAAAGTGTTTGATGCGAAGGCATTTGCGTCAGACGTGGACTCCGTGGCCTAACAATACGACATTTTCACAGGTTATTTCCATCGTCCCGCTACACTCTCCACAACCCCGTACGAGATCCGGAACCCTGCAGACAAGGCAGGCACGCGCGGTAGTGGCGTCTTTATTGCGGAGGGAGAAACGAATGGTCTCATACGTAAACTTCCTATTAGTGGTATCGTGTAGCCGCTTATTCGGAACTATAAACCACTGACGTGTAGCTGATGCCGGCTTGCCGTCGTTATCAAATGCACGTGAAACTGAAGGGTTTTTATTTCCTACCGCAGCAAGTCAGACTTGAATTTTGCCCTAAAAATAATTTTGGGATTAGTTAGTTTGTGAAACTTTATAAATAAGACGCTCCATGTGTAATCGATGGAGGCGGTGAACTACTCCGGCAACACCGCCACTCTGCGAGTTCGGCTTCACTTCGCTCTAACGAGCATCGTAATTCGGCAGTGAAGCCCGCTTTCAGTTAACCAAAAGAAATTGCCTACACGCCCGACATATCCGCCCAGAAATCGTGGCAAAGGTGGGATGACCAAACACTTGGTCTACCGATATAAAAGCTACTGCAATATCGAAGATTTAGTTTCATCACCTTAGGAGTGATATGCCGTAAGTAAAATCAGTGGCACAGTTAGATATTGTCCCATTCATGTTTACGCTCGTATATTAAATTCAAGCAAGTTCATCGGCTTTAGGCAGAGAGACCAAACAAATAAGAGTGCATTATGGGCGGTTTCATTGGCCGATCGGCCTACGTTGCTGAAGCGGTGGTGTCCTAATCATTTGGACACAGGTACAGCTCTCAACACACCAATTCATCTCTGTGCAATTTCTTGAGCTTCTGCTTTACTCAGAAATATTAGTGAATGCTCAGTGACTCACCATGTTTAGAATTACTCCACAGTGTACTCAAAACAAAATCCTACTATCAACTTTTTTTTGTTTTTGTCACACTACTTTTGCTTCTCTACGAGGTCCAAAGAAATGTTTCCAGAGTTCATTAACTGGCAAGACTTTGGATATGTATATGTATAGAATAGCCTTTTGCATGACATCCATGTCTGCCTCTTTCTTAACAGCTAGCATTTTGAAAGTCGGAAGAAATTTAAGCAACATAGTTTTCAACTTTACTGCCCGGTAGTTGTAAAGGGAACAAGTTAAAGGGCTCTACACGTTTCCAAAATCGAGAGAAGCAGTGCAACAAAAAGACCCTTGATAACATTATCCAGCTGACATTGAACAACCTGGCTGATAAGACAGGTCTATTGTGATCTAGGAATGACCGCCCTTCCGATTGTCTTGTTTAGGCACGGACTTCTGCAATGGATGCAAGAGATAGGGTGCTCCAGCAATCCTGCCACGAGCCTTGCACGTTTACCGAAACGAAGCTAGCTATACTGCACAGCTGCACGGTGTCCCGTCATCAACCTCCGCAGAGTCATCTGGAAAACTCAAATTCAGGAGAACCAGCATAAAACACAAGACGCAATTTATTTCGGCAGGTATCGATCTAGTAAAGAATAGATAGGGCTGGGTTTGATCAAGTTTTAACCCAATTAATCCCTATCCTTAAATCAAATATTTAATCAAAGAATAGGTCTCATTAATTTTTTATGTGCCTAATATTTTTAAAAATTCAAAATTAATATTTCTTTTATGTTTTTGCATTTGCTGAATATGAGATAAGGGGCGGAATATGCAATTTTTATTAGGAATCAACCTTGATGTGTAGTTAAGAAAAGTTTGAAGGCACTCACAGTCACATATTATCACTTCAGGTGCATGAGGTAAAGAGGTTCGTTGATGTTATCCGGCAAGAGTGACCTCCTTTGATTGTTCACACTATAGACTCTGCTGCACTAAACGGACACTCGAGAGGCATTGAAGTGGCCGGGACACGTGTAACCTTCTGCACTTCTAAGGAGTTAGAAATTTTGCCCTTACAGTCTACTTTAGGTTACATTTCGACCTAAACTTTGCCCTTCATACAGGTGTTCTCATCCACCTCTGCATGGTGAAACCGTTTACTTTTTACTTTATTTTGGTTCATTAAAATATTACTGATTAACCGGTTAATAAAATTAATCGCAATCAAAAAGCATTAATCGATTAATCAGTAAGTTAATCTATCAATTTCCCAGCAATAGTAAATGGGAATCAAAGTGCGAACTAGCAGAAGTGATGACATGTTCCAGGTAGATAGCTGCTCTCTCATGATTCAGCAGAGCTTTTCTTTTTAGATTCTTTTATGCCAGAACTTACAGTGCAGTGCAGTGATGTGATCGGTCCCAAACATTTTAGAGCACCTTCTGGAGCAGCTAAAAGTGCAGTTGGGGGCAGCAAAGGGAACTTCTGGAGCATAAGCACACACTTTATTTTCATTCCTAGCTCCGCGAATATTATATGGTAAGATTCACGTATTGGCCTGTCCATCAAAAGACGCCGTCTACTTCGCCTTCCCTTTTCCGTGCAACCTTTTGTTTGGGTAAATCGTACGGCAGGTTTGGTTCCCTCAAACACAGAACTATACTCCACTCACCCTTAACCCTTTCCCTACCATAAACGACCTGGGTTCGTCCACGCTGTTTGTACCGCTCCCCCCGAAGACGAGCTGGGCTCGTCCACGGTTATTCGGGCTCCAATACGCTACCATGGACGAACTGGGCTAGTCCACGTGTTTCTAGTGAGCTTTGCCGTGGATAGATGGCACTTCACGGAAAATAAAAACCGGGTAAATTTCTGAATTTGGCAGAAAATTGTTCCAACACAGGCAACAGGGAATTTAAAAATGGTGGCGTCAACTTCTGGTCGCTGCGTTTGTAGTGACGATCTTGCCTCAAAATTGGGACGAAAAGAAAGATATTGTGACGTCTCTTTAGATTCAGAAGATGAGGAAATGAGTCTTTCATCGAACAGTGAGAGTGATGCAACCGAGTTATTGGATTTTAGCTCAGATGACTCTGATTTCGAGGAAAACATTGTATCGGAGTGTCGGCATTGGACTAGAATCAATGTAGAAAATTCCCCTCCAGCCCCTCGACGTTCTGCGTTCAGTTCGCGCGCAAGGTGATGTGAACTGTCTGCAGTACTGCTACGCCCGGCCTGAACATCCATGTGCAAGGCGATGTGAACTGTCTGCTGTAATGCAGTGAAGCAGAACTTTAGTCCCTTTTTCTTTTGCAGTGTGCTCAAAGACTTCTCATATAATAAATATTTTGGCGTTTGTTTTTGGCCTTTGTATTGCATATTAAATTTATAGGACACCTAAAAGAATTCAATATTTTCAAATAGTTTTTTGTTTTTTTTCAAACTTTTTGCGGTAGGCAAAGGGTTAAGCTGAGACTAGAAACTCTGCCTTCAGCGAGAGCACTCTAGTTCCTGCGGTGCTTTGGTTGCGCGAGCCTGCATGTTCACACCTGTGTTAGCAAGGGCAGAAAGCTTGCATTGAAGGTGGAGCGTATAGTCTCAGCTTAAGGGTGAATGGAGTTGTATAGCTGCTGCGTGTAGAAGTAACAGACGCAACAAAAATATACTGATGAAGGACGGAATGAACTGCTGTGGATGGTTATTTTAGGTATGGAGCCAAAGGTAAGCCGAATAGTGTATTGCATGGAAATAATGTTAGAACAGAATAATATTGAGCACCTAAGTTGATATTTCATTCAACTCCTTTAGGCTATAATCAAACTGCAATAATTAAATCAAATAAAAACAAAGCTTTTGTAATTGATTTATTAACATCAATTACAATTTTTATATAGAACTTCATAAAAACAAAAATCGCTATGTGTATGATGAATGAGCCCTAGAAACAATCCAAAACAATCCAAGTTTTCATTCTCCACTCTAATTAATGTACTTCTAATTTACTCGGATCATTGTGCCATCGCAAAGATGGGACCTAGGTAAAGGTGACAAGTAAATAAAAGAGTTGTCATAAAGAGTATAGGTTTATAGAGCCGTCCATGTATATCTTCCCACAATACGTAAGTACTCTCACTAAATCTCAAGTTAAAAAAATATTGTATGAATATTGCAGTCTATCATACATATACTAGCCACAGTCTTATTTGGTACTTCTTATTGCAAGGTAGAGTTAATTGTTACATCAGCGCTTACCAAGTTATTTTTTTAGTATATACCCAACACTTTTGTGTGCAACGTCTTGCTCTGGAGAAGTGCTTTCCCCTTAGCACACGGATGCGCTGCGGCGAAGCAAGATATGCAAAATTGCGATGCCTACTCCGCATTTCTCGCTTTAGTGCGGTGCACCAGTGCACGGTGAGAAGCACACTCAACGAAGCCACCTCACTTACCAGAACAAAGAACATGAGCAATATTGCGACTTCGGAGTACTGTCGGTGTTTGATTAGGTATCAAATCGAGTAGCACGTCGCTTAAGGCGATAATCCAAAGTTCTGAAAATTTGGACAAGCCTTAACGATCCGGTTGTGTAGCGGGGCCTCAGCTAGTATACTTCGAGTTAATAAAGTGAAAATCATGTAGGTGCAAATTCATCACTTTTTGGCGAAATGTAGCAGAATGTATCACGGTAAGCACTTTGGCGCAAATGGCGCAGCAATCACATCACTGCGATTGTGGTGGAGGAGCTTATGACACTTCTCCCTCTCCTCACATTCAAATTGGAGGAGTGTAAAGGACAAAAGTCAGTAGATCATTGCCTTCAGCGAATGACACCAGCCTGGTTTTCAACAAGGTAGATGAAAGAGGTAGAAGAGAATATTAAATTATGACAAGCAAAAAGTTAATGTTTTCAAGTTTTCAGGTGTACACCCCCGCCTTTAGTCTGTAGTGTTTTCAGAAAGGTTCGAAAGTAAATCGCATTCCCCAACTTTTGGTGAACGATGATGAAAGCTTGTCTGTATGAAAAAGGACACTATCTTCTTTGGACAAAGTCCTGCAGATTTGTGAGAAACATAAGGTGGGCAAACCTTACCCATCGTTCACTAGTCCAATGCTTGCAATTTGACTGCTCTGCCCACATCTACGAAACTACAGTAAAGACGCAGGCGAGCTGGTGACGAATCATAGTAGAAAAACCCAGAGACAAGGAGCTAAAAAGGACAAGAACAACACTGTCTCAGAACCAGCACAACAATGATTCAATTTGACATAGTCTTCCTTCTTCTCTTCACAAATCACGAGCATAACCCCTAGTCATCTGTGACGGTGCTGTTCTTGTGCTTTTTAGCTCCTTGTCTCCGGGTTTTTCTACTATGATCTACGAAACATTATATTGGCAACTCAGCCAGACTGCATTGACCCCAACAGTTGTCAGACGCAGTGTCTGTTGGTGTCGCCGAGAAATCGCAGGGCTCTCAGCATGTTCTGGAAGTCTACGGCCAGAGTTTGGCAGTGAAACGTGAACATACGAAAAGATTTGTAATCTCTGACCCGTCAAGATCTGCACACGTGGCACTTCACAAACGTATAAAGAGTCTCCCCACAAGACAGTATTGTTTGCCTGCGCCAACGTGCTAGGTCGCCACATCCCAGAACATAGTTTACAACTACAAAAAAATAGAGACATTCACACGATGTTGACATGCCTTCTTCGGCTGAGGCGTGCCATGCATGCACAGGCATTGCCGAATGAAATGACTTAGTAAAAATAGGCAATTGAGTAATTAATTTGAACGCATTCGCTGTGGCGACTCTTGCGTAAGACAAGCGAGTGACGTGGTTTTTCTGTCCGCAGCTGCTGGTGGTGGTGCTGTTCTTCCTGGTCCCGGCGGCCATCTTCTCCTCCCTGGAGCCTGAGTGGGACTATGTGGACTCGCTGTACTACTGCTTCATCTCGCTCACCACCATCGGCCTCGGCGACTACACGCCGGGCGACAGCTACGACCAGCCCTACAGGCCCCTCTACAAGGTGGCCGTCGTCGGTGGGTACAGTTGCACTCTTGAACAATGGTTATAGGAAAGACACTGGACGCTGAGAATGCAGACCGAAATGCACCTCGTGCCCCGAGGAGTCAGCGTACCACAGCCCAACATGCACTCATTGTTCTAAATGTACTTGCTTCACTGCACTAAATGCAGTGAAGACTCCATTCACTGCAAGTTGGGTGCCACTATCGTGCATGTGTACTGTACAGGGCCGTGAAAGGTATACTGATGCAATCTGTGCAAATGGCGAGTCATTCGGCCAGGGAGACATAATATATACAGACATGCTGTTTACGAACGAGTCGGCATTTGCCCGCACCGGCTGTGGGCGAATGCCGACTTGTTCGTCAGGGCCGTGTGTTGATGCATTGGACGTTAATCGTCGCATTAAGTCGAATAATTAACAAAATTTTGTTAATTAACTTTTTAATTGGCGAGAATAAATGTATGGTCCCAATTAAAAACCTGCAGAGCATCACTGAAAACCCCCAAAGTAGTAGGTTTTAGAGATACCTGAAGCACTTGGGAAGCACCGGGGTGGGCTAAAGTTATCACTTGTGCAACAGGCGCAAGGCTGGCATTGCAAAAGCGCGAACAATAATCCGATCCGCATATTTTGCATCACCAGCTTTGCTTCCATCACAATTAATGCATAGAGATTAAATTTTTTTTCTACTCCTTTTAATGACTAGCACTATATGCCGTTAATCTCGTTAATTTTAAGCGAGGGTTTTAAAAGTTGACCCTCCTGGGTTGTGTCCTCTGTCTACGAGCGACTAACATGCATGTACAAAAGCCCATTGAAGCAGCATGCAGCAGAGAAGCGTCATCTGCTTCCCTGTGCGGGACCACAGTGCCTCCTGTTGTCATTTATGTGAAGCGGGCACAATGTAGCAAGGCATGCAAAAGTGAGCAATTAAGGAGTTTCGAAGTACAACTATCACAACAATCTCGTTCAATATCCCACCCAGAGAAATAACTGTGTATTTACCCTCAGGATCATAAAAAAAACTACAGCAGCAAATGGTACCTACAAGGGCAGAAAATCGCACAAAGCAAATGAATGTATACGGTTATGGTACCTCTAATTATAGAAGGAAAAAGCAGCTTTGGAGGTAACTGTCAAATAAAGAATTCCATCTGGGAGGAAACTCTAAGCAGGGGTCTCCAAACTTTTTCGCTAAGGGGCTGGATCAGAGATTTGTCATTGTCTCAAGTGTCGGAAAAAAAATAAGTAAATATAAACGAGAAAAAACTAAATAATAAAAGCTAAGTAAACAATTATTAAATAAAAAATTGAAAGTTAGACTAAAATTTAAAAAAATAACAAAGGATGTAAAGTGTATGAATACATCTACTTCATTTTTAAATCCAATGTTTAGCTAAAAACTAGGAGATTACACTATAATGCGGACCCAGAAAACTTTACAGGCATAAATCACAGTGCGTAGGAACTTTGGCATGTTCCAACAGGACAGAAAGCAATGAGAATGATAGAACTGATACTGACAATATGCAATGGATAGTACAAAGGACACTAAGCACAATATAAATGGGAACCAACAAGAATTTTAAAGTAGGAAGTTACACAGATATGAAACAGGGACTGAGAATGGTGATGCTGGTGAGGACAATGTAAAGCGAATAAAATGATGAGAGGACATGCCTTATAATATCGTTTCCCCTCATTTTTTTTTTTTTTTTTGGCAGGGCTGGGCAGTATTGCCATGCAAATGCATCACAATAGTATATTAAAGATGCTTTCGAGTATCTGCATCTCTGTATCGAGATATTTTTGAAAGATGTATTTGTATTTTAGTAGCGTACAAGCGATGTATCGCTTGTATCGCATTACTCTGCCAGGCTTGGGGACCTCGTTACATTGGCTGCCAAAAATTAACTGTCGGTTTTCTATGATAAGCTTAACACCACCTCTTCAGTACAAGGGGTCCCAGAATTTGTAATACGTGAATAGATGAAAAGTTTGAGGTAAGGGGAAGTGCATAAACTGACATAAACTGGAGGAATACAAGCCCTGCCATTTGCATTCACCACAAACTGCACCCTCTGTACCTACCACTGTTCAGGAAAAATTTCATTAATATATCTGTATCTGCAATCTGGAATACTTTTTTTTGTTTTTGCGGAAATATCTCAGGAATATCCCATTGCATAAATGACAAATGTTTCTCAGTATCTGTAGCTTGGATCTAAAATACATTTCAGTATTTGTATTCTGGGATACTTTTTGGAGTATCTCTGCTCGGCCGCGTTTTCTAGTATCTTCATTTACGTGGTTGGCGCATGTCGTAGCAGCATTTCTTTCCGTACGCTCATTTTTACGCCACTAGCACCGAGCCTGCTGAAGCGGGCTGCGGGCCGGTTTCAATTTAAAGGATCGCGGCCTGCCGCAGGCCAGTCGGAAGACCACCGTAGGCAGGGTTCGAAGACCCCTGCCCTAGATCATAAAAAGAACACCAAATTCACATAGGGTAATCTGCTTTGATATTGTCAAACATCCTTCCACTCTAGACAGCTAATTTGGGCAGTGCAGAGTGACTGCTAATGTGGAGTTTTTTTATGTTAATCACACAATGGATTGCATCGCACAGTCAATTAATTGTTTCACTTGTAACTTTCTAAACGTCATATAATGATGATTTCCGTTCTATTAGATTACGTAATGTAGTCCCATACATGTCTTATAATCATCCTGTCAAGAGTGACATGAAGGGCATTAAATAAAATTATTTTCCCGCCAAGACCGTCCAGTTTGTGGGGCGCAGCCGTGACGCCACCCTTTCGTTGCAGGCTACCTGCTGGTAGGGCTGACGTTCATGATGCTCCTGCTCAACGTGCTGTACGACATACCCCAGCTCAACGTGGGCATCTTCTTCCTGCTCAAGAGCGACGAGATGACCAATGACCCAGAGAAAGTGCGCCTGCACCACGGCCTCGGCCCCAAGTACACCCAGCAGATTGACGACCCCCCTCAGCCAGCCATCCGTCACATCAAGGCTCACCCCCCGCCCCCCTCCTCCTCCCCCGAGGACATACCCTAAGTATTCCCCGTGAGAAGCGTACTTCCCGCCACCTAGAGCCACCTAGTGTTCTCCAAGTGCCGGATTCCGTGGCACGTGCCGGAGCTACGGGCCCAACTCGCCAACTCGCCTCACCAAATCGGGCTGCTGTTGATACTCGCGGCAGAGTTATTTGGACCAAGATACTGCCGCACAAAAGCCAAACCAACCTGGCCTTCTTGCCTTCCACACTTTCGCTGACGTAAACGTGGTGGCACTCCGGAAGAGGCGCTTCAAAATTGCTGTTTGAGTTAAATAGTGGCGCTACATCAATCATAGTCATTGCAGCGCAAGGGGGCGCAACACCGCTTGGATTCTCATAGCACCACGAAGACAGTGCCCGGTATGCCACAGCATGGCTTGAACCCCCATTCGTGCACTCCTAGCCCATAATGCTACATTTTGGCATGAAACAGATTCTCGGTTATTCTCCCACGTCTCTTCGCACCACTGCCTTCGATCACTTCGTTGGCACACTTCTAGCCTTTGAGAATGAAGGAATGTCGTAACGCAAGACAGAGGCTCGTACGGGATTCGTGCCAAAAGGTTGCAAGCAGCTATTGAAGCACATTGCAAACTCGATGGCAATGCCATGGAACACCGGCGAGCAACCGCTCGGAAGTCGGTGCTCCATGAACATCCGGGACTCTGATGGCCCACGGTAGCTGCCATACGGTGGATCCCCCAGGTCACCTCCCTTTCCTCGTGTCCCATGCCATGGACGTCCTCTCCTCTTCCCGAACTTGATTTAGATGCAGGGCCGAGATTCCGGCATTCTCCTGGAAGCGTCCTGACCGGTACCTCAGTGCCGCACCACACGTCTGAGCAGCGCAGCGTGCACACGTCTTTCTGCTCTCGACGAGAGCACAGTGCTCCCCGAGAGCTCCAGTGAAAGATAACCCACGCCACAGACTAGGCCAGCTGGAACAGGGTTCCGCGTGAAACTACCCCAATTCCACAATCCTACAATGACACGACGTGATCTGACACGAACCAACGCCGACGGTCTGGGACCGGAAAACTCGAGAATCTTTTTGTGTGTGTGTGTGTGTGTGTGTGCAGTGTATCTTTTTCTTTTCTCATCTCCCCTTTGCAGTGTAACTGCTTTTAAAAATGCATGTTTGCACGACGCTATATCTCGAGAGAGCCCAGGGCGGCGAAAGCTGTAACGCAGTGTTGTTTGTTTTTGTGTCGTTCTTAGTCACATAAGCCTCTGTCTCATTCTCTGTGTTCTTGCTTCTCAATGTCCTAGATGTCACGGCAATCTGTGATTTTGACACGCTATACCTGCTACACACACGTGCAATTTCAGAGATTCCACCCCAATCCTGCTTCCAGAAACTGTGACACGAGTGTTTTTTCGCCTTGTTCTCGGAGGATTCATCTGAAACAGTCCGAGGTCGAACTGCAACGAGCGTTCCGACAAAATTTTTAAAAGATGGTGTTCATTGCCAGATGGAAGTTTAGACACTTTTTTTTTTTTACATTGAGAGTTTAGCTTTTTACTGAAAACCTAAACAATGTAGTATCTGGTCCTGCAGGATTTGAGTACCGCTTTTACCTAAACCGCAAGAGCCATCCTATGGAGTCCCTTGCCCGTTTTGCGAGTGCCGTTGAGCAGCATTGTCTTTCCACTACGAAGCAACTTGGGTCGAGCTTCGTCAGCCTTTTTATGCACTGAACCGTCGTAAAAATCTGCTATGCGGCAACAACTCTTCCGAGCAGTTGTTCGCGCCTTCTGACATTATTTTCCGACGGGGCGTTATATTTATTTTTCAATGCCTTCCACGGGGCATTTGTGACTGTTACACTTCTCCACAAACTGGTTATGTCACCTACTCAAATACGAGTCTTTTGGTGCGACTTGTACACTGGTACGGCCACATTTGGATTTTTAAAACCGAGACAACTCACCAATTGTACTTCACGTTTGACATTTTATGCAAATTCTGCGCTCAGTTTACAAGAGCACATCACAGCGAGTCATTTGGTGTCAATTTTGCTAAAAAAAAACCATATCATGTCCTGTGATAGTCTATAAACTCTCTTGCCTGTTCTGTAAATATGTTGTTGTATATTGTTGAAACGAGACGAATTTATCTTGCGTAGTACCTTCTGAATGTGCTGCATGTAGTCTATTACCATTGCTTTTTCCAATGTCTAAAAGCTCTAAAAATAAAAGCAAGCAAGAATATCCTCTGGCTGTTCGATAGGAAAGGGGCAACAAGCAAAGAACAACACTGGATCCACTGCCTCCCGCTCTCAAGTTTTGCTGCTTTAGCACTTGGGTGTGTTCACGCTACTTGTTGTTGCCGCAGTGTGCCAAACACGTCTTTTGCTTGGGCCTCAGAGAGTCACTGCATGAAGCGACAGAGGAGCCGTCTCGACTCGAATCGGCAAAAAAAAACAGACTATAACGAGCCCGACATCTGACGTTCATCGACACTCCATGTGATACTATATATATATATTGTGTATAAATGAGTCTATCTGTACATGTATATATCTACTTGGTGGTTGTGTTTGTTTTTGCAATGGTTGAAAGCAAAACTGATGACCAAACATACTCCTCACATCTAGGACTCGGTAATTGTTATGGAATTAAATATGGAAAGAAAGCCGAATAAATGATGAAACGTTTGTTGGTCTCTTTATTGCTCCAGTAACAATCTGATTGTTATCCCTCCGTACAGTGCTCCCTTTACCCTTACATGTAGACAGGCAGGGTGGTTAGGACACATACAGGGATTTTTTTATCTGGGGATGCGGGACAACTTTACATTTATACATTGCAAACCACGGTGCCTGGAATAACATACCAGGGGTTGATGCGCCCCAGGCAACACACCATGCACACTATTTAGATTAGGTTAGGGTGAATTCACCCCTCAAATGGAAACATATTACTACCTTTAATCCCTTTCTGCTTTCTTTAGAGAGTGAACATGCACTCCGGTATAAATAAAGCCAACTACTGCAGCAGGCGTCGCATATTTCTGGTCGATGTAGCAAGTCGTACAACCCTATTAGTCGCACATACAAATTTTTGATTCTATACTGTTTCCGAGACAATGTAATAGATGCCAAAAAAACTCAAAAGCCAAGGAAAGAAAACCCTCGACTGGGCTCAGGGTTCTCGACCAGAATTAGAAACCCTGTAATTCTTTTTTTTTTTTTTTGCAAGATTAACAACAGCACCAGTAGAATGAAAGAAGCTCGTCACCTAATACGTGAGTATGAAGTGTACAAAAATAGGTATAAATCTCTCGGGTGTAGGTGTAGACACCCGGAGCGGCCCTACCCCGTAACAGTCTTCAGCACCAGGAAATAATAGATGATGAGGAAGAGGAGGAAGAGGCAGCCTGCAATTGCCATGCTCTTTCGGTTTTCTTTTCTGAGGCCAGTCAACTCATTTTCTAGAAAGCAAGAGGAAAAGCAAGGCATATAGGGTGATTACATGTGTGTCTGTCTCAGGGTGAAGACATCCTTGTTATCATCGAGTTGGCCTGCTCGTGACTCGGTCCGTGACCTGTGTGTTAATATAGTCTAAGCAATAACCAAGGTTATGCACTTGAGCTGAATCAAAACAGATTGCACTTACTTCAAAAGACATTAAAAAAACGACTAGGGCAGAAACATGGCTGAGGTGTCGCCACTCAAGCAAAAGCATGTTTGCATATGAAGGCACTCTAAAGGTATACAGTTCAGTCTCAAACAATAAACCTCTTGCAAAGCGTGCAGTGCTTGCCCCGAAAAGAATGCTGCGAACCGCCTGTACAGAGACAGCTTCAGTTGACAACAGGGGCGACCTTCAAGGCAACGAAGGACGTGCAGGCGAGGGCAGGTAAGAAACAGCACTACCCTCTCACTCTCTTCAGTGTCACATGGCAGATGTTACGAGGACAGAGAGGAGCGTCCAGGAGGTTTCCGTAATTCATTACGTGCAGCTTTTCGGAAGTTCCACAAAAGGTCTATCAAACAGTCCAGTGAAAGATGGGTGCATTCCTCAAAAATTACTAGATATGAGATAGATTCTAATTTGGAATGATTAGATAGAGATAAAGCTCTACTGAATTCACAATCCGTCGTTGTTTGCAATATTGATGGGCTCCTGAAAGCTTCAGAATGGCAGCCGACGTATTGCAAAACCACTAACTAGGAGGCACGAACCGTTACCCGATTTCAAGGGTTTGACAATTATGTGCATCCATCCCTCTATCGAAAAGGCAGCTTCTGAGGCCAGGCTTCTAGGCAAAATGGTGACTGCCATTCAGGTCAGGCCTCAGGGTGGGCTGGAGGCAGAGGTGTGCTCATTGCCTGCTTTAGCATACTAGACTATTGGGTGATTTAAGGAAACGGCAGGCTCTTTAAATCGACCGGAAAATTCAGTTTCCTAACCTATCGCGCTACGACTTTGTGCAGCGTTGCCCACAGATGGTGCATTTTTTTTGTAAAATTTGCAAAGAGCGAATTTACGTGAGGAAAAATTAAAGAAAGAAAAAGGCTTAGCTCCTATGGAAACGAAGTGACGCCACCGGTCTTCAAACAACACGGCGCCGTTTTGCACGGGTCACAAGAGATGGCGCAACGAACGCCGCCAATGAACGAGCATACGGCGCCGAGAGCCAGCGTCTTTAGCAGACAATTTTTCGACTCACAAGCGGAGCGCGTTCCGCGGGCGGCGACAGTCGCAGAAACAAAAACAGGCGCGGTAACAAGGAACTGCAGTTCCTTGCCTGCTAAATACGCCAGCTCTCGGTGTCGTCTGCTCGTTCGTTGGCGGCAGTTGGCGTCGCGACCGCTTGCGCCATTTCTCGTCTCCCGTGCGAGACGGCGCCGTGCTGTTTGCAGACCGGTGGTGTCGCTGCGTTTCCATAGGAGCTAAGCCTTTTTCTTTTTTTTACTTTTTCCTCCGGTAAGTTCGCTCTTTGCAAATTTTACAAAAAAAATGCACCATCTGTGGGCAACGCTGCACAAAGTCATAGCACGATAGGTTAAGAAACCGAATTTTCCGGTCAATTTAAAGAGCCTGCCATTTCCTTGAATCACCCGGTAGAAGCGATGCTAATGGAGCCATTCGCTTGTCCGCACTGTAGCAGAAACGCCACCAGTATATGATCTGCACAGCAGCACTGATGCTGTCAGCCGTGTCATATGTGGCCAGATGGAGCTTTTTTTTAGCCAACAGACCCTTTCCAAAAAGTCGCCAGGCAACATTGGCAGTCGCCATTTCTTGGAGCCATTAACCCTTCTTGAGCTCTTCCGAAGGCATGCGAAGCTAAGTGTATTTGGTGTTTCCTTTGTAGATTTTGTTCTAGCGTGCAGGAAATAGTTTGCCTAGATTTAGGAAGCGCTAGTATAGGAAGTTAGGCTAGTTTAGGCTGCCGAGAGGGCGCTAGCAAGTAAGGCTAGAGTAGGGCTTTGTTATAATTTTTGGCAGGAACGGTTTGAGGTAGATAGGCGCAATGCCTCGGCATAGGAAACCTTACAAAGGGGGTGATGACCTAGCGTTGTGTTTTGAGTGCATGCAGCGGGGCATCTAGATGAGACAGAGCTTGAGAGCTTAGCGGAGGCAGGGGAGGGTAGCTTGGTTTGCCGAATCTGCGAGAGGGTTGCGGAGGGATTTAAGTTGATAGAAGGGCAGTGCGCAGCTAGGGTTGCGAGTGGTCCTGGAGGCTCGGGTCGAGGTGTCAGCTAAGGGAGAGGAACTCAAGGTAGAGCTCCAGGAGCTCATCAGTGAATGGGAAAGAAAGGTGGAGGACCCGGTAGGCGAGCTTGGTGAGGAACGGGAGAGCAGGTGGGGGGGAGCTTGAGAGAAAGGTGGAGGAGTTCAAGAAGGGGGAAGTGTGGAAGGCTGAGATGGGGCAGCGTAAGAGGGAGTGCGAGACTGGGTTGGAGCAGCTGAGGAGGGAGGTGACAGCGAACGTAGCGGGAAGGGCAGTCTCAGGGGAGGGAAGCGCTAGTGAACAGGTGGAAGACAGTGGGACGGGGGTGGCACCTCGAACCTACAGTGCCATAGTGGCGCAGGTTACTAGCGGGGCAGTAAAGGACACGGTGGTAAACTGACAGATACAAAGTGAGGTGGTGCAGATAGCTGGAGGGAGTCAGCTGCAGGGCAGGGAAGGAGGAAAAGGGAGTGAAGGCAGGCAGCCGGAGGCTAAGAGGGTACCGGTGGTAGGAGACTCGGAACGTAACGAGGATTAGGGGGTCTACTGGCCAGGGCGAAAGGGGATGAGAGCGTAAATGTAGGTGGCCCAGTCAGGGAAGTGTGTCACAGACGTTATGATGAAAGCAAAGCAAGAGCTCTGGGGTAACATGGAGGGAGAAAACTTGGCATTAGCGCATGCAGGACTCAATGACGTGTTGAAGGGAAAGAGCCAGAACCTCAGCAGACACATTGAGGCTGGTGTACGTAGGCTGAGAGAGGTCTCTGAGAGGGTGCATGTGCAAATATGCACTATCCCAGAGGTCAGGGGGACAGTCTTATCAGACAGAGCAGCGGGTGTTGCAAGCTAACCGGGTGACTAGGGGGATGAGCCAACGACTTCAGTACGGTGTATTGGAAGTAAACAAAGTGGTGTATGAGGCTCGCTCCGACCCTTTAGCATAGGGCATCCACTACACTGGAGTTAAAGGTGGCACGATGAGGTATAGGATTGGGCGTCATGTCGTAGATTTTTGGGGGACCCACGGAGCCCGGAGGGCATTGGTGTAGATGTATCAGTACTATTTGTACCCGTATCAGAGTCAAGGGAAGCTCCCGAGTGTGAGTACCGCAAAAGCAGCAGGGAGAGCAGGAGGAAGCCTCGTAGAAATAAGAGGAACAATCGGCTCAATACAGGCTTCATAAACATGCAGGGAGGCAGGAACAGAATAAAGTGGGAGGAGATGGGTGAACAATTAGAGGCGGAAAATTTCACAGTGTATGGGGTAGCAGGAACTCACCTGAGGGATGAGGAGGAACCACCATACATGCCAGGCTACTCCTGGATGGGATGCAACCGGAGGGGAGGTGAATGCAAAGGTGGAGGTCTAGGAATGTTAGCTAAAGGACAGGACTGGGAGAGAGAGAAGGAAAGATGCAGAAAACACTTATGGCTGAAAGTTAGGGTAACAGGTCTGGACACTCTTCTGGGGTTTGCTTACCTGAAAACAGAAAATGACTCAAGGGAGGAAAATACGGAACAATTTACATGTATATCGAGGGACATCAGCAAAACTGGCCTTAATCAGGAAATAATTATCATAGGAGACACGAATGCCCTCTTAAAAGAGTTTTGACAGATTCACAAATACAGCCGGAAAGTTGCTAGAACATTTCTGCGATGCCCTGGACCTAGTGTTAGTTAATGCACAGGTAAAATGTGACGGGAAAATAATGTGGGAACGAAACAACTCACTCTCAGAAATAGACCACTGCCTCATGTCCCATAAACTGTATGACAGGCTAGGAAATATGGAAATAGATGAGGAAGGTACGAAAAGCTTAGAGAGTGACCACAAAGGAATTAAGATTAAATATGGCACGTCCGAACCAGAACAACAAGCGCAGAAACGGGTGGATAAGCCTAAACTACCGTAGAATACCATGCATCCGCCCATTCCACACTAAGCGCCCATCCCCAAATTCGTAAGATCTGAGAAAATATGCACAGCACATTGATATGTAAAATTGATGACTGGACAAGCGCCCATCTCCCATCTTTTCACAATTATCTCAAAATTTTGAGTGGGCGCTTGCCCGGCATTTTACGGTGTGGGAAGCTCAAGTACAAAAAATATCGAAAAGTATTGAGCACATAATAATGAAACAACCAGAAAGAAAAATGGATGTATGAGGATTTAATAGGAATCTTTAAAAGAAAATTAGAAAAGCATTGAATTAAACAAAGAGGAAAGCAAAAACGAAGACACAAACAAAAAAGCTGGTGGAATAAGGAGGTCAAAGCATTTAGAGGCATTTAGGGGGCATAGGTGGACAAAGAAAAGGGGAGCCTTGCCAACCGAGGTAGCATCAAAATGGGAGAGCTTCCAAGAGTGGAAAAGGGAGACATCAGCTTTAATACAGGCCAAAATTGGGAGTGCAGAAGTGCAGTGGATGATGGAAATAAATTAAAAGATAGGAATGCGGCAAAAAGTTTTTGGAAGCGCATTAAAGCGCAGGGGAGAAAGGGGGTTTCCAACACATACTAACCACACAGCAAGGGAGAAGAGAAGAGGGGGAAGAGGCACGGGAATATATAAGGCAAACAATCGAAGAGGCCTTCTCCCAGCTTGAGCAGAGAGGGACAGTGGATAGCACGGACAGCGGCAGTGTAGAAAAGCAGGATTGTATAACAATGGAGACGACTACAAGAGAATAGGATAAGGCAGAAAGTAAGGTTCCAGTAGGTACCACGACAGGCAACATACGCTTAGCCTCACCGCCCGATGGCGCCACTATCGCAAGAGAAATTTACTATCATGTAGTACATTCTCGTAGACAGCTACTATCAAAATTGCAACCGAATCGGACTCATAGTTTCGTTTTGACCGCATGTGGAAGCAGGCGTGTCCGCGAATTTTAGAAAAAGGGAAAAAGAGCAATATCGGTCGGTGATTCGATTCTTGTTTTTGGAGGGGAAATCGCGCAGTGAAATCAAACAGCGCTTGGATGCTGTATGCAGTGACTCTTCTCCTTCGATGGCGACCGTCAAAAATTGGTTTAACGTGTTTCAACGTGGTCACACGTCGGTTTTTCACGAGTCACGCCCAAGTGCCCCGAAAACGGCTACCACGGAGGATAATGTGACAAAAATCCACAATCTCGTATTGGCAGACCGCCGATTGAAGGTGCGAGATAACTGAGACAGTGGGCATCCCAAAAGACCGCGTGGGTCATATGCTGCATGAAATTTTGGGCATGAGAAAGCTGTCGACGTGATGGGTGCCGCGTTTGCTCACTCCGGACAACAAGCGCAACCGTGAGACCACTTCAGAGCAGTGTTTGACGCAGTTTAAGCGCAACCCGAAGGAGTTTCTGCATCGTTTCGTGACCGTCGACGAAACATGGATCCACTGGTGCACTCCAGAGACCAAGGAACTGTCGAAACAGTGGACTTCATCCGGAGAACGTGCTCCAAAGAAGGCGAAGACTGTCCTATCGGCCGGAAAGGTGATGGCCACCGTTTTCTGGGATTCACAAGGTGTGATCTACATCAACTACCTGGAGAAGGGCAAAATGGTCACAGGGCTGTACTATGCCGAATTATTGGGCCGATTCAACACCAAATTGCAGAAAAAACAGCCCCATTTGGCGAAGAAAAAAGTGCTCTTCCACCATTACAACTCACCAGCTCACACCTCCGCCCTCGCCACGACCAAATTGGTCGAATTGGGCTACGAACTGCTGCCCCATCCACCATATCCTCCAGATCTGGCCCCGTGCGACTTGTTTTTGTTTCCGAACTTAAAAAAGTCACTCGCCGGGAAGAAATTTGAGTCGAATGAGGAGGTCATCACCGCCACGGAAGCCTGCTTTGCAGACCTCGAGAAAACATAATTTTCAGATGGGTTAAAGAAGTTGGAGCATCACTGGGTCAAGTGTATCGAACTAAAAGGAGACTATATTGAAAAATAAATCGCCGCTTTTCCAAAATTTTTGTTTTTCTTTTGTAGGCTAAGTACTTATCGGACCACCCTCGTACCCACGGACCATATTAAAACACTGGGAAAAACAAGCAAATTGAAGTTACGGCTTGTGATTAATCAAATAATTATGGGAGGAGAAGTATCCAATGATTGGAAAATAAGTAAAATGTAACTAATATATAAAGGCAAAGGAAACAAAGACAGCATTAGGACATATCTCCAAATAACAGTAACTTCAGTTATATACAGATTAGCTATGCAGGTAGTAAAGCGGAGAATGGAGGAATGGGCAGAAGATATGCAAATGCTGGGTGAGCTCCAAAACAAATCCCGAAGAGATAGAAGACATGAAGGTGACTTATTTGTAGCCACACAATGCATAGAAATAGCAATAAAGAACCAAACTCCTTTATGAATAGCTTTTTTGGACATCAAGGGTGCATACAATAATATGAGCCAGAAAAAACTCTGGGGTCAGCTGAAGCAGTGTAACTCAGATGCAAATTTGGTTAGGTTTCTTCAGCAGGTATACACAGACAATAAGGTTGTTATAACTTGGGAAGCAGAAACTACACAACCCGCAGCAATAAAAAGAGGGCTCAGGCAGGGCTGTCCACTGTCCCTTTGCTCTTCATGATATATCTCGGTGAAACGAAAAAGAAATTAGAGAAGTGCAACTTAGGTTTTGATGCGAGTTATATGGAAGGAAGGAGAAATGTAGTACAGGTGAAAACAGGACTGATGGATGCGGACGACATAGTACTTGTGGCAGAAAACTAGGGTATGTTACAGGAACTAGCTAGTATACAGTCAAACCTGTTTATAGCGAACAGCAGGAAACGCTACGATCAGCTCGATATAGCAAGTAATTCGATATAGCAAAAATCATTTACAACGAACTTCCACGATTCATTCGTTGTAAGGCCGAGAGCTTCCCTCTCTTTCTCATCTCTTTGCTTCCGCCTTGTAACAACGTGCTAAAAAGTTTTTTTTTTTTTTTTTTTTTTTTTTTCTTGTGTGCAGTTTTTTTAGTTTTTCTTAGCTTTTTTTTTTTTATTCGCTTCTTTTTGTTGGCAATTGTTTTGGAATGAAAAGATATTTTTCCATGCGTGCGTGCAGAAAGTATTTTTTAGCTTTCTCCCCCCTTCTGAATCGCTTTTCTTCACTCAATTTTGTTCGCAACTTGAGCTTCTGAAATTTTCTTTCTTTCCCACTCTTTTTTTTTTTGGAGGGGGGGGGGGGGGGGGGGGGAAGGGACAGGCTAGAAGACGACTGTTTGCACGTTTCTGGAAGCCTTCCCAGGGGGAAAAGTTCGATATAGCCATTGCCAATATGTTCGTTATAGAGTACTTTTTACATGCATTTTTATTTAAATTTTTTGTGAGTTTGATACTGACAATAATTCGCTGTACGTGGGTTTGTTCAAAACGGGTTTCACTGTATGTGGAGAGAAAGGAGACACCTTAAGCATGAGTTTTAGTAGCGACAAGTCTGGAGTAATTGTGTTTAACGACGAAAAGAGGGAGCCCCGGAGGATACAAGACATTGCAATAGAACATGTAGAAAAATACAAATATCTGGGATTCTGGCTCAATAAGGGAAGGAAGTATCTAGAGGAACATCAGAATATAATTAGAAAAGGGAAAATAAATTTATCTATTATGAAGCTCAAGCCACTATGGAACTATAATAGACATGACAGGGTCAGGGGTACATGGTAAGAAGCAATGGTACCAGGACTGTCTTTTGGCAGTGGGGTCTGTGCATGAAATCAGAGGTTCAATCAGGATCAGAAATTCGACAAAGAAGCATGGGCAGATTGGCACTGGAGCACATGGAAAGACACCAAATGAGGGAGTACAAGGGGACATGGGCTGGTCGTCTTATGAGAGCAGAGAGGAAATAAGTAAGTTGGAATTTTAACAAAGGTTGCCAAAAATGGATGATATGCGGTGGGCACGGAAGGTGTTCAAGCATTTATACATGAGAAGTGTAAACACAAAATGGACAAACCGAACCCGAAAGGTCACATTTAACTACCTACACACTAATGATAGGGCTGAGCAGAGTACTTCAGTGAAAAAGGGGGTGAAAGAAGCAGAGAGGAAAATGTGGGATTGAGAATGCAGGAGAAATCAGCTTTAACAGTGTACAGGTCACGAAACAGGACATAAGAAAGGAAAAATTGTTTGAAAATTCACTGGGAAGTGCTTTGCTGTTCGAGGCAAGAACGGGAGTTTTGAGGACGAGGACGTATAGGGCTAAATTTCAGGAGGCAGTCACATTATGTGCCACCTGCCATAATGAGAGTGAGACACTAGAGCACTTGGCTCTGAAGTGCACGGGGTTTGGCCCTGCCCTCCCTGAAGGGGTAAAAGATTTGGCCGGGGCCCTGGGTTTCACTGGCAACAACGGAAGGACGGAAGAGAAATGGATTACAGTAACAAAGAGGAGATTAGAAGATTGGAGGAAATTATCAAGCAAAAATTGAATGATGCAAAGCTAACTAGCACAGCTGGGGACAGGCAGGACAGAGGAAAATTGGGACTCCCTCCCACGTGACTCCGGCCCAAAGTCTCAACCCTGTCCCCCATTGGGTCCGGTGCTGGGGTAATGCCGACAAGGTTTGACCAGAGGAAAATTGGCCACTCCCTCTCCCGGGGAAGAGGCGGGGTGGGATGTTTTTTAGTTCTTTTAGCCTGATCCCCCCAAGGACATCCTGGTGATGTCTCACACTGCCTGGTGATAGTTAGGGGGAGAAAATTGGCTTAGAAGGGCGAGAGGAATCATGTTTGTCTTTTTAGACTTAGGCTAGGTGGCGCAATCTACCGTCATTTAAAAATGGTATAGCCAGAAACATCTATCCATCCATCCATTGGGAACGAAAAGCGTAATTGTATCCGAGTCCTTGCCGAACACTGACACAAACAGTCGTCCTCAACATACCTCGGCAAACATCACTCATGAGGACCCTCACTCACCCTCATCTTCACAGATGAGGTGAGGGCGAGTGAGTTTCTGAACCAGGAAAATTCATGAGTGTGAGGGTGAGTGAGGGCCGTGAGGGCTATGAAGACAATGAATGTGTGAGGGCAGTGAGTGCATGAGGGCCATGAGTGCATGAGGGGTGTGAGGGGCGCGAGGGTCGTGAGTGCATGAGGGCCGTGAGAGCCGTGAGTGTGTGAGGCGCGTGAGGGGTGCGAGGGCCACGAGTGCGTGAGGGGCGTGAGTGGCGTGAGGGCCATAAGTGCATGAGGGGTATGAGTGCGTAAGGGCTGTGAGGGAGGTGAGTGTGTTAGGGGTGTGAGGGTCACGAGTGCATGAGGGACGTGAGGGTGTTGAGCGCGTGAGACCTGCTTTAGACGGAGCAACTTTCTCAGCAATTTTGGTGCTGCTGGTGGGATGTTCCCTAGCTTTCCTTAGATCGACACAAATTGCTGAGATCGGGTCCGACTCGAAACAAGCGGGCAATTTGGAGCAATCAGAAGACGTTTGAAGCTGCTGCAGCCAATCAGGGACACAATATTTTGACGTGATACCTCGTGCCGGTGATGATGACAACTAAAGACTTGGTTCTGGTATGAAATCAATCGTTTTTGGAAATATACCGTTTCAAAAATATGATTTAGTATTCTCAACGAGATTTAAATGCATAAAAACACATTTATAGCACGTAATTTTGTGTCTAAATAGTACAAGAAAAATAAAATTTCGTGATGATGATGGCAAATTGCAGCAATTGGTTGCTGCGTGTGAACGCGGGCGGCCCATGATGCTGGTGCTGCGACGTCAAGTTGCTGGGCGAAATATCCCCGTCTGAAGCAGACCTGAGTGGCGCGAGGGTTTGAGTGCGTGAAGGGCGTGAGGGGTATGACTGCATGAGGGCCGTGAGGGCGGTGAGTGCATGAGGGGCGTGAGGGCCATGAGTGCGCGAGGAGTATGAGTGCGTGAGGGGTGTGAGGGCCATGAGTGCGTGAGGGCAGTGAGTGAGTGAGCGGCGTGAGGGGTGCGAGGGACATGAGTGCGTGAGGGCAGTGAGTGCGTGAGTGGCATGAGGGCCATGGATGCATGTGAGGCGTAAGGGGTATGAGTGCGTGAGGGCCGTGAGTGTGTGAGGGCCATGAGGGCAGTGAGTGTGTGAGGGGAATGAGGGCCGTGAGGTTCAGTGAGGGTGAGTGAAGGGCTGAAGGTGAGTGTGACTGTGAGGATGAGGGTGAGTGAGGGGCTAAAGGTGAGTGTAGCTGTGAAGGGTGAAGGTGAGTGAGGAGCTTAGGTGAGTATGGCTGTGAGGGTGAGGGTGAGTGAAGGCAACCTAAAATGCCGACCTTTGCCCTCCGCAGAGTCGAACTGTGCCACCGAATCTTGGAGGCAGATCAACCTTTTCCTGTTTAAATGTTTACACAGCCCCATTCGTTTTCCTTCATTCAATACCAGAGTGAAATAAAAAAAAAAAATGAAAATCTCCGTACAAGTACATGTGTTTGTGAGTATTCCAACATCCCCAACAAAGAATGTCTGGAAAGGGGGAAATTCTACCCATTGTCATTGCTCTGTGCCAGAGTGACAGCCCAGTCGCATAACCTTACCAAAATCTCATAAACCTGGAAACAAAAACTCCAGGAAAGCGATTTGAATAGTATTGTGCGAGCTACATGTTGAAAGCCATTCGAGTCAGTAAGCGAGTTAGCGTACATCCATGTTGATAGCCGAGATACCGCAAGGCTCTATGAAGGTATCTTTTTTCTAAAAATATGGAACACGGTGTCCTTAGGCCGACCTGCTCAATATTTGTATTCATCCTCCGTGTGCTATGGTTCTCATGAAGCCCCAATTTCATCCTTTCAGCAGGAGACCATTTATAGGAAATGGTATGAAACGCGACCAGTGAGAAAGCGGCCAGCAGCAGCACGCAACCAAAGTACTCCTGACTACTCTCAATACCACATGACCCCCAGCGACATGGCAAGGTTTCTTGGTGGATTGTGACCATATTTGACGACTCGCCACCCACTACCATCCTGAATTGCTGGAATGAAGCAGCCAATGAGCACACCTCCCCCTCCCTCCCCTCCCTCTCTTCCCTCCTTTCCCGGTCCTTTCGACTACCTTCGTCTACCTTTGTGTCTTGCAAGGACAACCAATCATTAACTACAAGTTCCATCTGTAATTGCACAGGATTGGGCCAAATGAGAGCAAGAGGTTTACCGAGGGAATCCAGCTGTTTCTTGACTGTGCGAACCTCATCTTCGAGTGCCACCCTGCAACAAATGAGAGCTCTTTAGTTTGGGCGACATAAAAGAGGCTGAACAAAAGTGCACCTTTGCTCGTCAGACAGGTTCGTCCTGCGCAGTTTCGTTTCTATCTGGTCCAGCTGGAAGAGGTACTCGTGTACTGCTGCTTGATTCTTGTCGATCTGATGCACCAGATATGAAACAAAGCCACAAACATTGACAAAGAAAATATACAAGGTAGACGTTGTGGGAGCCACTGGTTTCCCTCCCCCAAGAAGGCACAAGCCGCAGACGTATTGGGCAAAGTCGTCTGGCTTCGAGCCTGGTCGCTCTGAATCATGTCGGAAAGAGTATGCCACCATGTTGGCCTACCCTGTCGTACTCCTCCACGGTGGACCAGCGAGATCACGCGAGAGGGTCGGGCCTACCCTCCTCCGAGTGGATGACCGTCTGGTCGAGGAGTCCTGGATTGGACTCCAGGCGACGGGTCAAGTCGCGGCGTACGAGCATGTCTGACCGACGATGACTCAACATTAGCGTTTCCCCTGACTCTGACAGTCGGCGTCCCCTCCTACTAGTGGACGTCCATCTGCAGAGAGCCCTGGCCTGAACTCCGGCGACAACGGGTAGCAGCATGAGCTCGCGCATGCAGCATGAGCCAGCGGGCGCTGCGGACACCTGTTTCCCGATAAACGCTGTTGGATACCCAGATCAAGGCCTGTCCAAACAGGCTACCACAAAAATTGTCAGGACACACGACTCCTGCAAAAATCGGCAAGATTGCAGCATCCGGGAGTCGTCGGTCTTATCTCTGTCTGGACACCGACCAAGCCCAATTCACAACTTTCCTCCTCGCCTCCTCCACTTTTCTTCGACGTCGGTGCTTGTCAGACTTGATGTCGCACGCCACCTGCCAATGGTGTGCCTGCTGCCCGTCTATCTGTTCTCCTGAGGCTCATGAAGTCGCCAACCTCGCAAGCGCCGTCGCCTCAGCAGGAAGGCCAAAGAGGTCTGCCTTTGGGTGGATTTGGAAGATTCCTGCGGCAAACCGCGCAACTCAGCCACCCGGGCTCGGCTTTTCTGGTCGAAATCCACGTTTGTAGCTCGAAAAAAATTAAATAAAGTGCAGTGCGCAACAGTGAGACTTTTTGTTGTATGTATAAACGCCGAGAATTTAAGTATATTTTATTTTATTAAACTCCTAAACAACCATGTTTGTTTGTCGATGCAAGGTATGTTGGGAACATAAGAGCCGCGGGAATCTGATCCAATCCACAGAACTGCGGGAAGACGACACAAACTTGGACACGACGCGCACTTGCCTGGCTTTCCCCCTCACCCTCAAGCAGCGGAGGCCTTGAGTAATTGACCGTCAGCCAACAGAGCGTGTGAGTGGCCCTCCAGACCCATGTGATGAGCAGATCAAGGCTCACGAGGAGGACACAGGCGAGATATGACGGAGGGAACTTTCCCCCCGGCCAAAAAAAAAAGCGGGCGGAAATGGAACGCCGCACGATTTGTTAGGAGTCGAGTCTCCCGACGATTTTTGCAGTGTCCTGGTTGGACACCCCGTCATCGTTCTTGGCATGGCGTTGGCGAACCCGGCGCGGCGACCGCCCTCGCTGGTAGCCGTCGGCCGTGCAGTGGGACGGGCATCGGGTTCCTCTTTGAGCACCGGTCCCCGAACGTAAAGGTACACAAAATCCTGCCCACAAAATGGCGCCCCATATTGGGCGCCATTTTGTGGGGAGGATTACATTTACATACCTTTACATCCGGAGACCGGTGCTCAAAGAGAAACCCGATGCCCGTCCCACCGCACGGCCGATGGCTACCAGCGAGGGCGGTCGCCGCGTCGGGTTCACTAACGCCATGCCAACAACGATGGTCCGGGTATCCAAGAGCGTTCATTGGGAAACAGGGGTTTCCAACGAGACACTGCTGTCAAGCGAGCTGTGGGCAGAGTGCGTGCAGCGCCCGCAGACCTGAGAAACCAAGGGGTATTGCAAGCGGAGCCATCGCCGGTGGATTGAGCTCACACCACTACCTGTCGTCGCAGGAGTTCAAGCCAGGGCTCTCGGCAGACGGACATCCACTAGGAGGAGGGGACGCTGACTGTCAGAGTCGGGGGAAACGCCAGAGTTGAGTCATCGCCAACCGGACGAGCTCGTACTCCGCGACTCGACCCGTCGCCCAGAGTCCAATCCAGGACCCCTCGACCAGACGGACATCCACTCGGAGAAGGGCAGGCCCGACTCTCGCACAATTTCGCTGGTCCACCAAAAACGTTAGACGCGTGGAGGAGTATGGGAGGGCAGGCCAACATGGTGGCGTACTCTCCCGACATGATATGAAGCGACCAGGCTCGAAGCCAGACGACTTTGCCCAAAACGTCCGTGGCTTATGCCTTCTCGGGGGAGGGAAACAAGTGGCTCCCACAACGTAAAAGATGTTTTCAAGGCAGAAGGGCACTTGGATTAACCTTCAAAGCGCACAAGGAACACAAAAACTAAATTTTTCGGGTTAACCAAATTTATGTAATCCATCTCAAGTTCGGAACAAAATATAGAAGTTAATGCAAGGACGCAGGCAAGCTGTTTAGGGCTGACATTTATTTAACCCTGGAGAGTAGAGGAACAGAAGCACAGGACAGGACAACATGAATCTTTAAATACAGCTGAGGTTTATTTCACAAAACACAACCTTATACAGACAACCAAGGCAAAGAACCCGAACAGACCAAAGACGATGAGGACAATGTTGACATCACGCTTACCCAAACCAGGATACACGTATCTAAAGACGGTACATATCAACCCCCAAACCAAATCTCTGCAACTAGGAGGCAGATTTCACCTTGACACATATAAGACCGAGAACATAGTCAAGGTGAACAAACAGATGACCGCTATGCAACAAAAAGAAAGAGGTCAACCAACTATTAACAAAACTACAATAACCCCCTCAAAAAAAAAAAAGGTGTTGTTTTGCTAATGTTTATGTTTGCAATACACCAGGATTCAAAAAAATGTCAACAATATAGAAGCCACATCTGTGGAGCTGGTTGATGTTTATATATGCAAACCCTCGATTTAACAGACTGAAAAACTGCCTCTTATGCAACATGAAATTGGGTCAATGCACTCACTTCAGCGAATCAAACCTTTCCATACGATAAGTACTTCCCCCGTCAAACCATCGCCAGATTTTGTGAGATGCCCCAACCGTTGCCATCAACCGGGAGCCGGTCCACTCGTCACAAAAGTACTTGCGGCAGAAGGCCAGCATGATCAGAAGGTCACGCTGGCCTTCTGATCTGAGGTGAGTTTGTCAACAGAACACTCGGTGAAGAGAAGTCTTAATCGGCAGAACACGGGCGGGCATGCAATCGACCGTGACTTACACGAAACCACTGGCATCTTTTTGTCTAGCGCATTTGCAAAACGAAGGTACTTCTTAAGTAAATCTGTTTACAACCACTTCACCCGGGTTTGATTCAACATTAGAAAAAAAAAAGCTTTGCCACATTAGCGTGACAAAGGCAGCGATAACACAGAATGTGATGTGCTAGTATGGAGAAACTGTGTACATATGTGGGAACTGGATGGCGCAAAGCGGCCTTGTGTCATGAAAAGTAAGCATGAGAGCGCTCCGTGGATGTCTTACTTGCGGGTGCCATCTTCTGTGGCCACAGTGTAAATGCAACTTTCTTGGATCCTGCTGGTGTGCAAGACGCAGTAGACGGAGCGTGCGGAAAACGGAACGACTAGGACGCGGCAGCGCCAAGCAGAGCCTTGACACCAGCTCGCAACAAAAGAGAATCAAACGCTCAGAACTACCTCGACCGATTATGTTAAAAAAGTCAGCTTTTTTTACAGCGGAGCTGTTAAGGGCTTGCTTCCCCAGGATCGTGTCTGCCGGATTAGCAATTGGCCTCGAGATCGACCTAGTGGTGGCGCTACGGTCGCGCTATCATCATCATCAAAGCGGGGATAGGAGAACGGCCGCCCCATAGACTCTCCACGTTCGCGCGCGAGACGGCGTAGATTCTTGCGTTTATTTTGTCGCATACTATCGGTGGGAAAACAATTCTAGCGGAAAAGGATGCGGTACTGTTCGGTGCTTCAGTGAAGATTGAATTGTGTTGCCAGCGTGCGGCCTACATTTATATAATCGCTTCTGTGGGTGCGTCGTCTGCTCTAGGCAGACGTTGGAAAGCATGGATCACCACGACTAATGCCTGTCTCCGGCTGAACTGGAATATTTATGTTAAATATTTGTTTCTTTTAAAATGGATGTAACGGTTCATCAACGTGGGAATTAAAAAAAACAATAAATTTCCACCCAGATAACATAAAACTGGCACTGTGGGCTGTGAAATCGCAGCTTCTATGCTTTTATTTTTTTAACTTGTAGCTTTTGCAGTAATATAAATATTTAGAAGGAAGATAAGTTAGCGCTGTATTGGAAATTGCCATGCTATTAAGTTCCTCTGCCCTTTTACTGTGCCGTAGTGTGGGTAAGTTTTTTGGAGTCTGAACAAATCTACTGTGTTGCGATGAGGAGAGTGTAACAGTAAAGTTCAGATTATTCTAGTTAAGATCTGCAAACTGCATGGTTGGCAGGAAAACTGAAACAAGTGAAACAAACTGTTCTAATATATGTGCCGTGACTGTAATAAAGGAGTGTAAGCGAGTAACGCAGCAATGTTCCTATTATTAAATGCTTTTCTCGGTAGTGGGGGTTCACCCGGTTCAATTTTCTTGGTGAGGGCCGCGGATGTCAAGAGGCTAATGCTATAAATTTATGTCTAAATAATTTTGTATTCAACCACAGTAGACTGTGCAAACTTAAAAAACGACGCGCACCACGACACAAACAGCATCGGCCGCAGTGGTACTCTTTTACTGATGAGGGCCCTTTACGAGACTTTCCGATCACCCTCCGCCCTCACCTAACGTATATCGGGACTGGGCAGTTCATCGATTAACGTTCAGATTATTCAAGTAATGCTTTAATTGTAAATTTTTTTGCCGGTCAATTGGATTCTTGAGCTGTAGAAAGTCATCAAGGAGTAAAAAATGCCGGCTCTAATATATTTGACGTCTTTATTTCTTTTGTGACTCAGGCTTGCACGGTAAACCACTTCAGCGTGCTTGTCATTTCACCGAGGGTGATTATACTGTTTAAATAATAACTTCAAAAATACTTCATTTTAAAAGGCTTCCCGTGTTCATATTTAGAATGGGAATGCAATGTGCCATTTATGACATAGTAAAACGAGTAAAAAAATGTGTAGCTTTAACGTCTTTCACGCAATGTGACCGGCGAAAAATCAGCATACGGATTTATTGATTGATTAGTCCATTAAAGGATAGCGATCAGTCGTGTTAATTTTCTAATCAAACCACAGACCCACTCAACATTCAATGCTTTATGAAATCCACGGTGTGTGCGAGATAACAAAAATACGCGGGACCAGCGATTGTATACAAACCAACACACTAAGATTATGGAAGTTTCCGACTTAATAATAATTGCTTTGCTGAATTTCTACGCATGGGAAACGATACAACACAACCTTTAGTAAGAAGAAACGGCAACAAAAACATGAAGCATTTAATAAGGAATGTCAAGCTCAACCGGAAACGGGCTTGCGTCGTCGAGATCCATGCTTCTGAGCGTGCTTCCGTAGCAGACGACGCACGGCGGTATCCCCGCTTTCGCGCGTTTATAATTTCGGCCGCACGGTGGCGACACTGTTCGATCTCGAGGCGAATAAGGACATCGAACTCTGGACAGCTACCACCATCTATGAACGACGGCAGCAACCAGACAACTGGTTACCGCTGTCAATCATAGATGGCGGCAACCTTTCTTCCGAGGAAGAGGGGCGGGAGCGGAACGAGCGGCGATGTGCGCAGCAATGAATGGTTCCACAACTGCAGTGAAGCCGCTATCGCCTAAAGTTCCACTGCATCGAGCGCTTCAGATTCGCTTGCAAAAGAAGAGCAGATCGCTCGCCTGGAAAGCCATCGCCGAGAACAGAAGCTACAGCTCCGCTGCCCTTCCTTCTTCACCAAAGTGGAAAGGCTGAAAGTTTATTTTTTCTTTGCTTTTCTGTCGTTCTCTCTCTCTCGCAATCTTTCTCTGGGGAAGCCCGGAGCGGAGCATCGCCATATGTCTAAACACATGACATTCTCCCCCCGCCGGGAGCAACATGGAGGCACTCGAGGAAGGGGTTCGGCTGGCACTGGTGTCCAATCAGTGAGGAGACGAGCGCTGCGTGAGCGTTTGGCTGGCAGTCGGCCTGTCGACTTCCGTTGCTGGTACCTAACCGAATACAGTTAGGTACCGGCCATATAACACATTCTGTGCTAAAAGAAATAAACACCTTTGAACCCCATGAATATATCTTCTAAGCACGTTTCTCGTCCATGTGCGCTGGGTACTGACCGCACCCTTCTAGACTGTGGTAGGGAGAGTATGGAAGCCATGAAAACTCAGTGTGGGACTGGAATGCTGCTATACAGGCAATTTTCGTATAATAAAAAAAAAAAAAAATGCAGTTCTGGAATTTACTGGAAAGGAATGAACAGAAAATATAGGGGGGGGGGGGGGGGGGTAAGAATGAGAGTTCTTAAAAGTCAGTCAGTATGGTCATGAGTGGCATCCAACTGTAGCCGATCTACTAATGCTACAACAGAGCATGAAGGTGTTTCTCGTTTCTTAGGATTAAGAGAGTAGTGTGCATTTCGTTTATTTGACATTTTTATCGTTTCCTCGCTCGATTTCTGTCAAGATTGTCTTCTTCCAACTGAAAGAGGGAAAACGATGCGCCATATCTCATTCTACTTGATGCATCGAGCTAAGCACGTCATTCACAACCAGAGGCAAGAACGCCAAAACCCACATGGCTCTTCGCATATAACGCTTTAAGGATGTATTGTACTTTTCCTGAGTGATGCGATGATTAACAGCACAATTAAACAATAAAATGTCGGCCGTTCGTCTCCGGTTTACAATCATGTGTCACGTTAACCAAGTCGCGTGGTCTGCTCCAAGTTGGCGAGTAACAGAAAATAAATGAGCAGAAACGAACGCTCACCTCTTTGATTACAGATGTTCGGGACGTGTCGGGCATCGTGAAGCGTTAACGGTTTGTTCCCCGCGTAGCTTTTGAATCCTAATTCTCCAGTTTGATGATTTCCGCTGACAGACGAGCTGACAGACGACGCGTGTCGGCAAGTGCTGGCAAGCGCGCCTAGCGCGCTACGAGGGCTTGCAAATGCAGCCCTAAAACGTAAAAAATATGTAGGGGCAGCACATTTAAGTACAAAAATATTTTAAATATTCAAACCATCAACATTATCAAATATTAACTATAAAATAAATAAACCTGAGGCTCAATTTTTTGGTTTAATAAAGCTTTTTTTTTCTAGTTAAAGCAGTACGTCAAAGCCTGCTGCAAGTTTATAAATTTGTAACTCTTTGTAATCGAATAATAGCTTGTGACCTCATTCATTCGTACGTTTTTTGTTAGGAGAGAGTGTGTCCGGAGTAACTACGAGCTTTCACTGCTTTCACTGTGTTTTATCTGAAGTTGTAAAACGTCGAATAACCGAATGCTCCACTTATGGCGCCATCCGCGTTCAATGAAAGAAGGAGGAACGAGGAATGCCGGTATGCATTCCGTGAACGTCGTAAAGCGGTAGAACTACAGTGCAGTGCAACCAGCACAACGTTGATCTAGCGACATTCGGTATTCACCAGGCTCCAAGTTAGCCAGAACACTCCAAGAGGTAACAGAAAGCGAGCAAATCATGACTGGGGCGTGCATTCCTCCTTCGCCGAACTGGTACTGCCCTGGCGTCGCAGACGCTTCTGATAGCGGGCTGTACTGCTTCGCCTCCAAGAACTCCGTGGTGGTGTTCGACGCTCGCGCTGGCGTGCCCGAACTGAAAACATCGTGGCCGGTGAGCACGGAGCGGGTGTCGTGCGTCGCCTTCTGCCGCAGCCAGCGGAGCGGCGCCGACGACGAAACACCGGCGCTGCTCACCGTATCCGACGACAAGAGCCTGAAGGTGTGGGACGTCAACACACGCAGGGCTCATCACCACACGTCGTCCACCGCCGCGGTGAGCTACGCGGACTGGAGGGGCAGTCTATCGACATCCGTGGTTTTCGCCGGCGGGGACAAGGGCTCGCTGTTCGTCTGGGACTTGGTGAGCGGGACTGTGATAGCGACACCGGTCCACGCGGCGCACCCCATTCAGCTCGTTCGATCTCACCCAACGGATCCCGACATGGTCGCCGTCGGCTACAAGAACGGTCTGGTCGTGGTGCAGGGCTTAAAGAAGGGCAGCAACGCCGTCTTCAAACTGAAGGGACACTCGGAAGAGATCGTCTCCCTTTCCTGGAGGCTCGGCGATTCCTCGGACCTCGACGAACATCCGCACCTCTGTTCGACGGCCCTGGACAAAACATTGAGGATCTGGGACGTGCACGCTGAGAAGTCAACTCAGACGCTGAAGGTTCCATTTTCCAGCAAGAGCCGCAAAGTGGACCTGAGCCAGAAGGGTCGCCTCTGGATCGCCGCCGTTTGGGTTCCAGGGACACCAAAACAGGTAGCCTGCTCGACTGTTTGTGGGGACATCTGTCTCAGGGACTTGGCTACTGCCGACGCGGACTGGGAGTTCCTGTCTACCGATGACGACTCAGCAGGACACTCCCGTTGCGTATTCAATGTGTCCCTGTTGAAAACATCATCCAGGATTTACGCAATTTCTACCTCCATAGACCGCAACATTGTGTTCTGGGACCTGGCGTCCAAGAGGTCCGCTTACTGCTTGCCATCGCTGGGAGGGTACGCATACCACATGGAATTCTCGCCTGTCGCTTGCGCCTCTCTCGCCATCGGAGCGGGCGACAATACCCTGAAGGTTTGGAGGACGGACAGTGTGGTGAACCCCTACTGCTGCTCCAGCTTCTGGCAGGGTGTCCGTGGCAGGGTCATGGTAGTGGCCTGGCACCCGAGAAAAGACAACTTGGTGGCCTTTGGCACAGACGAAGGGAAAGTGGGAATTGTAGATGTCTTAGGAAAGCAGACAGTGGTTTCAGTCTCCTACCACCGACAAGCAACCTATGGCGTCTGTTGGGCAGAACTGCCCGTCGGTCCAGATAAGGCTCTCAAGACCGTTTTACTATCCTGTGGAGATGGCAAAGTGAAGGTCCACCATCTTCCAAAGATGGACAGAGAAGCCTTAGATCTTGACAGCATTCTGCTCAAGTTAACCTCTGGCAGGACAAGGCGCATCACTGTCAACTATAGCGAGCGCTTAGGCTTTCTCACTATTGCCAATCAGGATGGTGTGGTGGATGTGTATGAAGCAAAAACCCTGCGGAAACTGGCAGTTTTGGAAGCACAAAGGAAGCCAGTAGAGAGCCTCTCCTGGCATCCCTGCCAGACCCTCTCCTCAGAGTGCAGGAGCAACTTCAGCCATTGGCTTGCTTGTTCATCCACCAATGGAACCATCTTTCTCTACGACTTATCCAAGCTTGCATCACCGTCTGCTGATGTCCTGCGCATGTTGCAACCCAGTTTGCAGCTATCTGGACATTCTGCCAAGGTGGTGTGCCTTGCCTGGAGTCCCTTCAGGGATGGTATGCTGGCCTCTGCCTCTTACGATGAAACGGTGCAGGTTTGGGACGTGGCTCAAGGCAAGCCTGTGGCAAACTACCGGGGACATTCCGGACGTGTGTTCAGCGTCTGCTGGAGCCCGCTCGACCCGGACGTGCTCTTCTCTGGAGGAGAGGATGCCACTGTGAACTGCTGGAAGCTTTCGGAGCAAGGAAGCAGTCTTCCACCTTCCAAGCAGCGCAAGACCAAGAGTGACGGAGATGTAACCAGTGTTGCGGATGAGACACGAAGCGTTGAATTGCAGTCGACAGATTGTGGCTCGACTGAGACAGCCAAAGAAAGCAAGGGGGCATCTGAGAAAGCAGGCTACGATACATCCATTTTGAAACCAGCCGGAGCAAAGAGCTCAGGCACCAAAAAGAAGTCTAAATCGACCAAATCCTTTTTTCCTTTATTTTCTGGGTATGAAAACCGGCCCAAGCAGTCTGGGTCGGACGACTTTGTGCTTCTGGCTAACCTCCTGTCCCAGAGGGACGAAGGGTGCACTGCCCCCGATGGACTGCACACTCACCTCGGCATGTATGTTGACGACACCGGAGCAATGGCTGTAGTCGATGCCGAGATCCAGCACCACAAGCGGGAGTTAAACTTTGACTATGCCTTCCAGATGATGCTCTGGAAAGGGGACGTCTCCAGTGCACTCCAGGAGGCAGCTGCCCAGCGTAAGCTCACGGACACACTGGTGGCACTTTCGTCCATGGTGTCGCGTGCCACGTGGCTGGATATGTGTCAGCAGTTTGCAGTACAGCTGTCGAGCGATGGAGAGCACCACAAGGCGGCACTTTACCTTTTGGCGTGCCACAAGGCCCTGGAGGCCGTGCAGCTTCTTCGAAAGAATGGACTCGTCCAGGAGGCGCTGTGCATTGCCAGGGCCCACCTGCCAGAGGGTGACAGCGAAGTCACGGAGACATACGTGGCTTGGGCGGAGAAAGCGTGTGCCGTGGGAAACTATGAGCAGGCGGCCAAGTGCCACCTTGCCAGGGGGGACATCAAGGCCGCCGTGTCTATGCTGCTGAACCGCCGAGACCCCCACTCGCTGAAGTCGGGCGCCTACATCGCCAAAAAGTTTGGGCTGGCCGCTGACGCAGAAGTCGCCTTCTCTCTTGCGCTGCGTAGTGCTCTAATCCACCGAGATTGGGACGCTGCCCTTGTCTTGATAGAAGAACAGGAAAAAAGCCGAGCATTTGTGAGCTTTGTGCACCTACATCGAGGCCTGTGTCACGCTATTGACAGGATTACTGGTGCCAAACCTGACACACTCGAGCAGTCGGCGCAAACAGACGTGGTTCTTTGGAAAAGCACAGATGCTGTCTCTGCAAAGTTCCTGGAAGATGTCAAAGAGGCATTTGAAAGTAATGGATACAGCCCGCTTCAGAGCACATGCGGTTTTTCTGAGCTGAGCGAGCTCCTCGGGTACGGTCAGCACATCTCCAAGGAAGTTCTTTTGCACGAGTCACAGGACCAGATCTTGTTTCAGGTTGCTGGCTGCCTGACGGTTGCTCTCTTCAGTCGAAATGAATGGAAGTTGTACGTTGCCCGAGCGCTCGAGGCAGCATCTGTAAGCAGCCGTTCCCTCTTTGCTGCACTCTGCAAACTCATGTTTTGCGGTGAAATAAGAAACTCTAGGTTTACAAATGAAATCATCATGGACATAGGTCTCGATCGTTTCCTTCTCTTTGATAAACTGATCCCCGAAGGTGAGGCCGGTAGGACAAACAGCTTCGAGTGCCCCAAATCGTCCAAGGGTCTCTTGGAACGTTTCGAGGTCCTGAAGGGAGTTGGCTCTAGATACGATATAAGCAGGGAAGCTCTTGGCCTGTACTTGTGTATGGGCATATTAGACAGCTGCGACGCATCGTCTTTCACCGACTCCAAGACTGCTGTGGCAGAACAGCTGTCTTCACTTGCGCTCTGTCCAGTTCTGGCTTGCAGAGAAAGCACCTTGCGTCAACTTCAAGAGATCGAAACGAGGCAACTCAAGCAACGGCTCGAAGCACTAACACCAAAGAATTGCAGCACCGAAGAAGCAGAAAAAGGGCAGTTGTCGTTGAGCGACCTGGAAAGCCGTTCTCGGGCCTGGAGGCAGCGATGGCTCGAGCTCAAGCAAGCCACCGAAGATTGCTTGTTCCCAGACCAGGAAAAACTGTTGGCCCGGTTGCTGGAGCTGCTGGGTGGCAATCAGGATGAGGAAGGCTCCCAACTCAGAGCCAAACTGGAGTCCTGGAGGCTACTTCTCCTGAATGCCTGAAGTGGATGTTCAATTCATGTTTTGTTTGTATGTTTTGCCAGAGGTTGTCCGTAAATTAAAGAAAATGTTTCGTTTTGGGTGGTTCTGCCTGTTTCACTACGACGATGCTATGATTCGACGGAGCCAATCGAGCCACGTCAAAAGTCACGGCACCCAACATCTAGGTACTTTTGCCATCACCAACCGGACCAATCGCATGCTGTGCATGCACCGCAATCCTGCCGTCTTCTTTGCACGACTTGTTTAACCACTGACGGCAAACCCGCAGAGAAAATGGGTGCCGTGACGATAGACTTGCCACTGCTCCATTGGATGGCATTGTCGGCTGCGGTCGGACTTCAAGTGAAACGGAGTATAACGAGTCCACTCTGAACTCCAGCTCCGTGCTGATCAACCGAGGCTTTTCTATTTCTTAACCCAATTCATTTGTGTGGATTTTGCCCATGTGGATGCCGCCTCGGTGGCTCCGAGGCGAGAGCACTGGCCTACGTATCCCCATGTGGCGGGTTCGAATCCCGGTTGAGGTGCCCGCAATCTGACGGAGGCTTATTGCAAAGGAGGCGCCGTGTAATCGAGCTTTCGGTTACGCGTCAAAAGATCCCCAGGTGGTCCAAATTAATCCTCAGTCCTCCGCTGGAGCGTGCCAGATGCCCGTCGGTTTGGCACGTAAAACCCCCAAATTTGACTTTTGATTTTGCCCATGTGGATGATGTATCATCACATATTCCAAGTAATGAACATGAATGGAATATTTCGGGGCATTTGATTTCTAGTCGGTCTATTAAGTTGTGGATTGCTTTTTCGTTGTTCAAGCCTGGATTTTGTTGCCTCGCCCGTTTCGCTGGTGCCAACGTTACTAGGCTGGTACAATCCTTAAAAAAAATGACACCATGGCAGACGAAAAGAATAGGTAATAAATATGATTGTCACGAGGTACCTTTCCCAGTTGAAAGTTAAAAAAAGGCTCCCTGCGAAGTACTTTAAAACTCTACCCTTCTTCAGTGAAAAAGCAAGTTTTGCAACCTGTGAAGTACTTCAAAACTCTACCGTTCTTCAGCGAAAAAGCAAGTTTTGCAACTTCAGTCAATATTTTCAAATTTGAGATTACAACAGTTTTCAGCTCAGTCGGCATCCCTGAATAACAAGGTAGGTTTTTTTTCCTCAATATTGTGCGCATATGTTTGGATATAATATCTCAAAGTTTGGTTTCAGGCTTCTAGGGCAAAACCGAAACTATCTGAGAGGGATGGTAACACTGGTTATCAAACGTCATGTTGGCGCTGTGCAACATTACTATAGTTCATTGCAACTCAAGAAGGTAGGGTGGGGGAAAGGAGGGCTGGGGAGGAGGAAGCAGACAGAACACTGGAGAGAAGGAAACCTTATTCTGTCTGTTTTCTCCTCCCCAGCCTTCCTTTCCCTCGCCCTACCTTCTCAGTTGGTCGAACGTTTGTTTTATTGAACGCCGACTTTTCCTCGAAAGACACTTCAGCGAATAGTTGGCTGCTGCAAAGTGGCGTTTTACGAGTGGACCAAATGGGTTAACATTTTTGTAATGCACCGCTGCAGACTGCCGCCGCTAAGCGGCATGCCGTTTATTCGCTAAAACGTCATTCGCTCATGTAATATGGACCCGCATAAAAGGTACGCTTATAACATCCAGGTGCCGGCACAAGACATGCATCTTTGCGCCGCACCAGTCAGACTTTGTGTGGCAAGAGGGAGTTTTCGTAGAACGTTTTCGCCGTCCCACATTGCTCTCTGCAACCTACTACGATACCCGGAACTCAACAGTCGAGGCCATCGGCATGCAGGCGCAGTAGCAGCTTCGTTGCAGAGAGTTTAGCGGAGGGGGAAATGCAGTGTACAAAAACTACCTAATGAGGTGCGTGCTGCATACCTAGAGCCATAGGCGCCGACTACGAAAAGGGGGTGGGGACTCGGGGGCCGAAACCCTACCGGAAATTTCCCAGGAGAGCAGAGCCCCCTCCCCCTTGTTAAGGGATTGCAATCAGTGATTGCCAACATCAGGGATTGCAATAAGCATACTAATTAGCTAAATAATTACATAAAGCTTAATTGTCAACTTTTTAGTGAAAACTCTTAAGGCAGCCAAGTTTGGGACGACTCGAAGCACCTGGGAAGCGCGAATGTGGCAGCGCGGCATTGTGCAGCAGGTGCACAACACTGTGCGGGGCAGGCAATACAAAAGCGCACGTTCGACCATGTAATTGGTCGAACGTGCGGTTACGCCGACGCCGCTCAGGCTGGAAATGGGCCCCTAAGAGCTGCGCTCTAAAAAAAATGAAAGCCGATTACAACTCCCTGTAACGCCGAATTAGAGCACAGCTCTTGAGGAGGAATGAGTAGGGAAGGGTACTGAGGGGGGAGGAGGAGGGAAGGGTGGACCCCTCCTCCTCATCCTCCTCCCCTCATTCTTGAATATGCTCCGGGGGGTCACCTGACCTCGGGGGGAGGGGGTCGCGTGGCCTTGGGGGGAGGGGGGTGTCACGTTGACTTCGGGGGGGGGGGGGGGGCGGGAGGGGGGTCACGTGACCTCGGGGAGGGGGGTGGCCAAGGTCACGTGACCTCGGGAAGGGGGGGTCACATGGCCTTGGGAATGACCTTGGGGGGGGGGGGGGGTCACGTGACCTCGCGGTTACGCCGACGGCGACGCCGCTCAAGCCGGAAACGGGCCCCTAAGAGCTGCGCTCTGAAAAGTGAAAGCCGTTTACAACTCCCTGTAACGCCGAATTAGAGCGCAGCTCTTGAGGAGGAGGGAAGGGTACGGAGGGGGGGGGGGGGGTCACATGACGATGACAATGCCGATGATGTCATCAGTGGTGATGACGATGCGGATACCGATGACGTCATTAGTGAAGTCACTGATGACGTCACCAGACGATGCGGATGTCGGTGACGTCATCAGTGACGTCACCGATGTTGTCATCAGTGATGACGATGCGGATGTCGGTGACGTCATCAGTGACGTCACTGATGACGTCATCAGTGATCATGACAATGCGGATGCCGGTGACGTCATCAGTGACGTCACTGATGACGTCATCAGTGATGATGACGATGCGGCTGCCGGTGACGTCATCAGTGACGTCACTGATGATGACGATGCGGATGCCGGTGACGTCATCAGTGACGATGACGTCATGGGGGGTTCACGTGACCTCGGGGGAGACACGTGACTTCGGGGGGTCACGTGACCCCAGGGGGAATCGCGCGGTGCATTATGGGACATTTCCCATAATGCACCGCGCGAGTGCATTATGGGACATTTTCCATAATGCACTGCGCGGTTACGCCGACGCCGCTCAAGCCGGAAACGGGCGCCTAAGAGCTGCGCTCTAAAAAATGAAAGCTGTTTACAATTCCCTGTAACGCCGGTTAAAGCGCAGCTCTTGAGGAGGACGATGGAAGTGGAAGTGAATCATCCCTATATGATTACAGGCTTAGCACTAGCCTTAAAGTAGAGCAACTTAAAGACTCAACTTTTTTAACAGATCTTGGAAATTTATCAAAAAATGTTCATTATTACCCTACCCGAGGTGCTGAATGTTGGGAGGTGGCTACACCAAGAACAAACTATGGCAAACAAATGCTTAAATACACTCTCCCCAATTTACTCAATTCGTATAAGACTAAAAGTATAGATTGGGATAAGTTATCCTTAAAGGGCAACTCCACTCAAAAAGTCGACCCTATCGAAATGACTGATATCGCTTTAGGAGGTCAAAATACGGTCATACCCAAAATATTACGTCAAACCGACGCCGCGTTACCGATTAATACCAATATTAGAAATGTTCTCCCGGCTCGGTTAGCGGCCCGAAAGCGGGTGAGCAACGCTGGCACCGGGTGAGCTAGTGAAGCAACACTGGGCAATGACGTAGGTCTAGTCCTACGCTCTCGTACGGACGCCGCGAACGCTTCGTTTCCCGTGGCATTCTGCGATTCTGCTGTCGGCACGAGGTGTTTACCACATTATCCTGTGTTCTCCTATTTTTATTAGCGTCCAGGCAGTTGCTTTAATTCCAGCATTGCTTCCGCGACAGCGCGGAAGCGAGCGAAGCGGTGCCGCTCGCTCACGCGCGCGTCGTGGAGCCGGAGAGATTCGCCGGTCTCGCGTTGGGCAATGTCGAGCAGGATTTGTAGTGCTGTGGGCTGCACCAACAATCGGGTGCGCAACCCGGAGCTGCGGTTCCACCAGTTCCCAAGAGACCGGAAGAGGCACAAGGTGTGGGTCGGTGCCGTTCGCCGGATAGACTTCGGAAGACCGTTGACTCCGAGCTCCAACGCGAAGCTTTGCTCCCAGCACTTTACGTCAGACACCTACACACGGGATCTGCGGCTGCTGACTGTTGCGGGTTTCACCACGAAACAGGCGTCTTTGAAGAACGATGCGGTGCCGTCGCTGTTCGCGTATACCGTCCGCCGGCTGCTCCAGCACGATCGGCCGGACGCAGCAGGTCGCGGCTGATCTAACTAGCGTGCACATAAAGGCACCTTGGCTTTAACAACTTAGACCACTTGTGGATAGATCTGTCCATCTATCTCCCATTATTTCGTTTTCTCGGTCCGCGCGCAAGAAACAAATACAGTCACGCTGCGTCGGCACCGACCGCGTCATATTTATAGCAGTCGGATTCGCTTTTCGGCCGGCAAATTTATAAATACACACTAAAACTTACTACATTTGATGCATATCAACAAAGTGAAGCGGTAAAAAAAAGAAAATGTGCATCTAACCTTCTGTTTTGAAACTCCACGTGCGACTGAGCCGACCTTGGCGCGTCGGCTCAGAAGCGCGGGACTAGAACTAGGTCATGCCGACGATGGATGGATGGATGGATGTTACTGGCTATACCCTTTGTAGCGGGTGGTAGCTTGCGCCACCTAGCCTAAGTCTAAGAAAGACAAACATTTGATTTGATTTCCCGCGCCCTTCTAAGCCAATTTTCTACCCCCTAACTATCACCAGGTAGTGTGGGATATCACCAGGATGACCTTTGGGGGATCGGGCAAAAAAACTAAAAACATCACCCCCCGCCTCTTCCCCCCGGCGA